ATTCTTATATAATCTAAATCAGAGACGCGCAAACAATTTTTTAAAAAATACTAATGGTATTATGATCCTCAAAATATGTCTGCAACGTTATTTGAAATTATATATGTATAATTATTCTTTAAAATCAAAACCTTTAACAATATGATTATTCTTGTTATAATTCACATTCGTTTTCCATTGTGAAATAGTTTTTCCATACATATGTTTTGAGATGCGTGCTTAACCAAAGTTAGAGTACATTCGTAAAGTTCACGCGCGACTTCTCTTATCGGATGTAAGTTGTGTGGGCGTACCATAATGGGACATTATTTCAATTTTATTTGCTTCAACTTCCTCAACATTTCTTTTTGTGTCAGTTAATAACCTTTAGTTGTTTATGTTCATTTTTATAGAATAGAAAAACCGTCGAAATATACAATCAATAAATTATATATCTAATCAAACTAACAAAGACATTCATGAATTTTATCATTAACATCTCCCATCATATACTTTTTATAAGTGAAAACATTTCTACGATTATTTTTATTGCAACAACCATACAATTACTTCAACAAAATAAAACAATGAATAACTTTTATATTTAATTATTATTAACAAATCGTGACAAAATGCAAAGAAAATAATGTAAAGAACATCCTATTTGATTATAATTCTGAGAATTAAGTGTTTCAAAACATGTTAATGGTTGTAATCTATTTGTTGTAGTAGTTTTCTTTTTTATTTTACGAGTGCAAACGTGTTTTCATAATGCTGCCAGGGTTCAATGAATATACGGGGCTACTACCGTGGTTCACATCAATACAAAGGAGGTTTCGTGCGCGCCTCGTTCTTCGTTTTCGCTAATGACGACTGTGAAACACGTTAAGAGAAGTTAAAAAGGTTTAACGGTGAACGCGAGTCGCGCGCTAAATAAGTTACAGTTAAAACATATTCCTCATACTTTCTTATATACGCACCTAATGAACAGGATATTACGGCTAAACACTTTTAACTGGAAAGTCAATAAAAGGTGATTACTACTAATTAACCTAATTGAAATTTACGACGATGAAACGAAGAACAAAAATAATTTTATACCGCGTTGCGTTCGCGCCTTCCCCACATTGCACGGTTTCAATTCAAACGTAATTATTTACAAATCTTCCTTAACTGTTACTTAATAAAATAAATTAGATATTTAACTATTTTTTTAACTGGTTGAAACTGACCTACTTATTTCAAGTTTCTTGAATTTAAACAAATTTACACCGTTATATTTTATTAACAAGTTATTTTATTAAATGTTTTTAAGTGGAATTTATTAAAACTGAATATTTAAACTAAATGAAAGAATGCGGAATAAATTAATTTCCATTAAACGTTTGTATCATTGAAATAAATGTATTGAAACAAAATCTAATCATTAACTTCCTACTACATTTTATGAAAAAAAAATATAACCATATAATTCTTTATTTTTATGTATTAAAGTGTTTTATATTAAAATTAGTATCAAATGTTTTAATCATATACCGGATATAATTATATAATTTACTGAAGGTAAATTAAAAAATAGGTCACGAAGTCTACACTTATCTTAATAAGAAACTAGATTTCGTAGTCTCATATCCGACATATCTTTTTTTTGGTTGTTCCTCTGGTATATGTCGGAAACTGAACGGTACTGACTATAATCTTAAAAGAAAAAAATATCTAGGTTGTAATTCATCAGATCCGTTACTTTAAGTATTGGACGACATTTGTTGTAAAGCATCAAACATAATTGAAACATACTTTAACTATATTTTTTTATATTTTCTTACTAATCATATTTACAATTATTAAAATTAATCAAAGATGTTAAAAATATATAATGTCAGATATACGTGTATTATTTTTTATAAGATTACACAAATTATCTTTAATTATCGGTGTTAGCAAAATTAGTTGAGAAGGTCATAATCACTAGAATAATAACAAGTGATTATACAAAAATTAAAGCTCAAATAAAATATTATTAAACCTTCGACGTGACGCAAAATAATCTTGGTGAATCTGGAAATCACAATGACTACTGTATTCAAAATTGGGCTAGTAAAATAAGTGGAACAAAGAATTGAGTGTTTGGAGTTGAATGGTTCGTGACATATCTGCGTGACAGACCACAACAGAGTCGACTGGGTCATATAATAAGCAATAAAAGGAACAGCTGAATTTGGAAGTTCTACAGGAAGGTACACTTTTCCTGTATACACAAACAACAACGGCATGAATGAGTTTGAATTAAATGCTAGTTTATAGATGTATTCAGAAGACGCATGCATTATTTATAGCGGATCTGACACAGCCATAATAGAAGAAAACAAACTAATCTACGCAAACTACATGGAAGTTACGAAAGTATCTTTTTAATTATTAATGAAGTTAAAGCAAAATTACTTAAGAAAATACATTTTTTGATTAATAAATATTAAAATACTAATAGAAAACAAATTCGTAAATTAAATAAAGTTCTTATGAAATCTTAACATCATTTTTGATTTTTTTATTTAGATAATTAACGTTCTTAATGATGTCAACAAAATACAAAAACAGGAAAATACAATTAATGACTAGAACTTCAAACCACATGCCATATAATTTGTGGAAAAATACTTCAGAAAAGTAGGTCATAATTCTATTACTAAATATACTTAATATCAATTAATTAAATTTGAAAATAGTTTGAAACAAATTCACGATTTATTTCTTAGACTTGCGACATATCCTTTAAAGGAAATTCAGCAGTTGAAGACAAAGTCAAAAAGGTTTGAATTATGGATACGAGTCCTTCAAACATAAACAATCTTGGCTAAATGAATTGATCATTAGTTTATTCAGAAAAACATCCTTACCGTTATTTCCCTAAAATGTTGCAATATTTTTATTTTGAAAAATTTTAAGTAAAAACTACAAATTAGTGAATTGAGACATGTTGAATCATTTAAAATAACGATGTTTAGATGTTTAGGTTGATCAAAATCAGCAACCAATGAAGGAATCATAAATAAAGTGGTTTATTAATATTCTGAAAAAGCATGACTGAATTAAACATCAACATTTTGGTTTGAAAAAAATCACTGCCACATTACGAATGACACTTTTATTGACAAATGAACGAAAACAATTTAGAAAAACTTATTGTTTGACTTATTTAAATGTAATACAAAATTATTGTTTGTATATTTTTATGACACGGAATTTTTAAATGATGAGTATTTTTTGGGGATTTCCATAAGATAATGCTTATTAATACGCATTGAAAATTAAAAAACAATCATATACTAGATTATACATTGTTATTGTATGTACAAATCCATAATACCTTATTTAGCAAAGGATACAATCATGATAAAGAATAAGTTAGAAATTCTGACAACAAGATACTCCATAGTTCTTTTATTTCTATTCATGGAGAAATATCAATATAGCTGTATAATTTACAGATTAAATGGATGATTTTTAAAGTTTGGGCAATATATATATTTTATGAAAGAAAATAAATATTTTGAAGTCCTAGTACTACTACAGATTTGTAATCTACTATTGATGCACTTGCATTTAAATGTGGACAAAATAAATAAATCCAGCGATTAAATGTAAAAGCAAGTGAGCGTGAGCACTCGTGATTTTTTTTCGTAAATGATTTATTTGTTATTTCTATTTGTGCGGCTTCGAGTTGCGACCTAAATAGTTGGGTGCGTTCTGACATTGATGTTGCGGCAGAACCGCGTCTACCGACGTCGGTTACGCAACAAAAACAGTGCGCTCTGCGTGCATCCACAAATGCAACGCGAATCTACGAAAAGTCGAACGGCTACTGGACATTAAGCTGTGTGCCGAATGCTGCGTTATTTTTGCACTTTGCTTCAAGTCGTGCAAAAGGCAGGAGCATGATGCTGCATCCTTACGTACACTTGCCGCTTCGTCCTCGAGCGGAGATTGCAACCTTGGTTTCGACACATACGCACGTCCAAGGACAACGTCGTCTTCGTCGAAATCTACACCGAATTCGGTCGGACACATTGTTATTGTCGAAACCTTGCGAAAGCCTGCAATTACCAAAAGCACAAAACATGTAATGAATGCGTAATAGTTTAAGTCTCGATAGTTTCTTAGTAACTCTCAGATGAATTCTCGCTCTACCGCAAATTCCGCAAAGATCTTAATAGAAATATCTAACTATAAGTAAATATTGATTCTAGTCTCGTACAGTTCCATCACTACTTGATTTTTTATTACGATGTGTTTGGAATGACGTTCACCTTCACCTTCATTACCTCAATTATCTTTCTAAGTTATTATATACTAAAATTACAAAATATACATTATTCTAAGAAAATTTTACAACTAAACCTATACAAGTTTGTAAATAAATTGATTTCAAATACATTTACACAATGAATACAAGCACTAATATCCAATGATAATAAGATCGCAAAAAAAGACAAAAGTCCAATGTTAATATAGACAATCAAATCCAAACCTTCAAATTTAATGTGAAGTTTAATTATAATATCCATACTTAAGTACCAACAATATGAAAGCACGAGAAAATGTCAACCATTTACTATAAAATTTAATTAATTTTCAAATAATACGCTTTGAATTAAAATAATACAAAAAAGTGTACTGTTTTTTTTCTTATTACTACACAATTACAATAAATGAATTTTGAAGCAGGCATAATCATTATAACCTTCCAGTCAATTATACCTGTAAAGTGTTGTGTTGTTTATGGCTAGTTCCTATTTAAGTCCAAATATATAAAAACTGAACACATTTCCTCGATAATATTAGCTAAATAACTATTCAATAATATTAGTTATATAATTTCTATGTAAATTCGATTCATATTATTATGTAAATATGTGGAAAATTCCAGAATAATATTATTTCATTATGTTACGAAATCAGTGATTGACCGTAGATAAGTCGTCGTACATTTTCTATAATTTTTGTTTTTTTTTTTGTTTCAGGCATTGGTAACATGATCTTAAGGATATAAGGAAATGTACCGCAGCAAGATGCAATAAATTCCGAAGTGCGAGGAGCCCACGACTGGGAATAGCATGTTGCATCATCATTCTTCGCTATGTCCTGCAAACGAAGAGGTAAATACTACAAAAAAAATCTTCAAGTGAGTACGCTAGAAAAAAAATAGCGTAAAAAATCGGAAACAAAAAAAAAGAAACGGACCGGGGTTTTGTTGGAAAAGAAAAGTTTTAATGACAACGAAATTCGGATACGGCCACTTTCCAAAATCGATTGCGATAGAGAAATAAATACGACTCGCTGCGGTTTACATTGTACCGATGTGTTTGCATAATCAAAATTATAAATTGCGTTTGTTCTTTTTTTTTGCTCGAAATTGCTGCAGGCAAATTGCCGATTGAAAAATGTTTTGTTGTGTTACGCAAACGTTGGAATTTATTGTGTCAGAATCATAAGAAGTTCATATTAATAATAGAGTATAATAAGAAATTATTAAGGTTTATTCTTAATTGTTTATTGTTTTCTTACATACGTTTGAATTTTGTTTGATTTTCTGAAAGAATGTCAATGTCAAATAGAAGAACATTTATCTCAGAAAACAAAAACGATCAAATTAATCATTTCTGTTTGTAAGTTTTAGAATTTAAAGAGTGAATAGTGTAAAAATAAAAGTAATACACATCTAAAACCTGCAAAATCGCTCAGAATTAGATTCTAATAATTATCGGACTATTCGATTTTTTTTATGCGTTCAAGTATTTTTTTTTTCTAATTTTGTTCTACTATTTAACCCATTTGTGCCCAAACTCCAACAAAGAAAAACATGGATTTTCTTTTAAAAATTCCTTCATTTATAAAAACTAAACACAAAAAAATAACAGCACATTTTCTTTTTCAAAAAAAAAATACAAAAATTTGGTGTACTCGAGTGGGTACTTCAATGCAATTTTTTCTACGTACAATGTATCTTGTAAACTCCAATTGAGTTATTTTTAGGCAGATGGTATTTGTTACAGTTTCCATGCGTTGTCCATAGTTAGGTCCAACATATAAGTAAAAAGTACAATTTCTTGCCATGTTGAAAATCAAAAGTACTTCTCGGTTATTTTGATAATTCCTTTGACGATTGTATCAGACACTTCGACATTCTATTTTTTCTAATGGTTGCTGTTGCCCTAAAGCCCTTTTTGATCAGAGTTTTCGAGTGCAAAGTACATGTCTTACTTTTATCGTTATATTATATAATTCTATATATTAAAAAACAAATATACAACTACAAGTTTTAGCTATTTCTTACTAGATTGCAGAAAATTCTATAAATACCGCTGTATCTGCTTGGGTACAGTGGACAAAGATGGTTTACTGGTGGTGTTTAATTTTTATAATGGAAGCAGATATCTAAAATGAAAAGCCTTTATAAATTAAAATTTACAAAATGTATTGGTCCTTGCGATAACTGTTGACTTATATAAATGAGTTTCATAATTGAAACATAACTTAAAATGTTTTAAAAGTTTTTATTAATATAAAATTTTGAAATATATTAAATATATATTTGAAATATATATAAAAGTGTTTTGGTCTTGGATTTTAAACAAATTCAGTACATACTTCGTGATACTTAACAATTAATTGACAAGTAAATTAAAAGTATTACATGTAGCAATCTTACTATAGAAGTAAAAATATGAATGACTTGAAATGATTTAATAAATATGTCGCCGTCATTTTCATGCAAAAATTATCATAGTTGATGCAATATGATTTGAATCGATTTATACCATATGTATATATTCTACGTCTAGAGGCGTACAGATTATATGTGCGAAAGAGAAGTGCGCTATGAATAGGACGACAAGTGTGCGTGGATGATTCATTAAAATCAGCGCGGCTTACATAACTAGCTAACTGTAGCTTGTTAGGTAATAAATACAACGTGCACGATCCTAAGTGCATAATATTTATGGCGCGTATTCGTTACCAACTATTCTGCATGTAAACGAATCTTTATTCTAATGAGCACTCCGCTCGTACGGATATATTAAATACGCTTACTTAAAACAAACATACTTGTTCGCACAAAGTTTCATCCACAAATTAATCTCCATAAAATGAAAACTATTGAGTTTAGCCAAAATATAATTTATTTTTAACATACATCATATTTATAATTATTATAGATATATCTATCATATAGTGTTTATATTTGACATCTTAAAGTTAAATCTTGTGATTTGCTTGAGTGACGCTAGTCTTTACCTGCTTGGACTACAATGGCACTCTTTTTTTCAAATAGTAAACTTATAGATTATTAGCTTATTTTAAACCGAATTTTCTTAATTATCTCAAAAAATAATCCTAATGCTGATGTAGATTTTATTTTTGTAAAACAAAATCTACATTTATTAGTAATCATAATAACGATTGTAATTATTTAATCGTGAATATGTAAAAAAAAGTATTTATTAATAAATTAATCTAAACTGGATTTATGAACATTTAGAACAGACATTTTTTTATAATTTTGCAAAAAAAATGTTTTTAAATAACAAACCTTCTTTGATTAATAGGAAATAATCCTCAGTGCTAAGTATTTTTTTAAAATATGACATTTGTAATATTCTAACAATTTGTACTCAATTAATTGGTATTAGTTTTCTATAGGCTAACAATGTTAACATATTGACTTATATAATATATGTTACTTAATTAATGTTTTTTTTATATACTAATAGAACAGTTTTAAATTAGTTACGAAACTATCACTAACTACTTATTAATCAGGGTCTTCAGTATAATGATATGAAGATTGCATCGCGAAAAGTCGACACAGTTGAAAATACCCGAAGTATATTCTATTTATTCTGCGTTTGCTCGCCGGGTTGGTTGAAGGAAGAAAGTGCGATGATCTAAAAATTCTACCTGCTCGGACATTTTGTTGGGTGTATGGTCATTGGTTGCCTGGTGGGGGAAGTCGAGGAGTCCCAAAAACCAAAAGAAAAATAACATTTGTTGTGCATGCGGCTATGATGTTGCGAGACTGACTCAGTGTGTTTTTGTATACATATATAGGAAGAGAAATGTGTGTGTTTGTGAGTGTCAATAAATTATAATCCCTGTCCGTCCGACCGGCCCCGACCCATGGGAAACCATGGATGAAACTAAGAGCATAAGTTTCAAAAGCCGTCCTCGCAATTGCTCGTGACGAGTTCCAACACACACACACACACAAAATATGAGAATAATCGCAGCCGTGATAAAAGAGAAAGGAGAAGGAAATAGTTTCGGCGAGAGTAAGTGTATAATTTACATATCGTTGCCCAATTTTACTCTAGTATAACTCGTGAACTTTATTCCGACCGAAAAGAAAGAATTTCTTTCAATTTCGCACTCCTGACACGAAGTTTCAATCCTATCCGATGTCTGTTTGTTTGGCATGCATTCAACTTGCATTACATGCACTGTCCTTTTCCGTCCAGTCGGAAATCGCGGTCAAGGTAATAAAACATTTGCTTTCGCGTTAATATAAACAACAATGAAAACAATCACCAACTTACTCAATGACATCTTCATTCGGTTAGAACGAACATCAATCATACTCTAAAAAAAACATAGTCCAAACACATTAAAACGTCTTAAGCAAATAAAATAAGTTAGTGAGTATAAATAAATAATATTGTGAAATCTCAGTTCAGAGAAAATTGTTTGTGTCTGTTAAAGTGATCTGTTAAGTAGAGTGAAGTTTTTTATATGTCGATCCAATAAACTACAAACATAATCTAAAGCATCTATAACAAGTTTCCATTAAGGAAAATTGCATCAATCTACAATCAAACCCAAAAGTTTAATGACCGCAATCCGATACGGTTGAACAAATCACTTATTGTATGTTAGTTAAACTAACCATTACCGTATAAATTTCAATAAATCCTATTTAAATACACGCATACAAATGACTTCGTTTAAATAAACTATTTTGAATGAATATATCAATTAATAATTGTTACTATTACTCCACGTTTATTGCCTCGCAAATGTTTTCATAAATTGTTATTAAAAAAAGAAAACAATGCAATTTGTGTCAAATGATTCTACGGAATGTCATGTTACCATGGCGTATTAGCTGATAATTATAACGCACATAAACAACTTGAGGTTTTCATTTGTATTGATTCTATGACAGTACGTCATCTGTTATTATGTCACTGCCAATGCCAAGTTGCTAATTAAATCAGTGAGTCATCAGCCTGGCCTCGACGCGCAAGATCAAAATAATCGCTGACTCCTAATTTCTTTGTTTCCTTATTGCAACGACTATTGAAGCACGTGATCTGTCCAGAAATATATGTATCATAAAGAAAAATTTACAAAAAAAGTATCTGTCATTTATAATAATGAATAGTTTTGATTTATTTTACTAATGAATGTTGATTACTTATCTTATGTGAATTAATAGTGTATCGTTGCTTCTTTCAAAATGACTATCATTTATCATCTCTTATATTTTACCAGATTTAGAGATATTTACTTTGTATTATGAATAATCAATCACCGATGACAATATGTTTCCTGACTGTGCTGTCACATTAATAATTATTTGGTATTATATCACTGTCAATGCTATATTTCTAATTGAATCTGACTCATTGACACATCTGATTTTGTATCATAGTTTGAAAAATATTGATTGTGGGTATTATTAAAGTTAGTTAAAAAATTATTATCGAATCCAGTTAATGTAAAATCTATGTTTTTTTCGTAAATAATTATCAAATCAAAGTTGATTAATATATAAATGGTAAATTATACCGGTAACAGTAATTTTATTTGTAAATCGTCACACATCAGCTATATTATTGAGCTGAATGTATTATGTGTACCTAAGTGGTGTTAAAACTTTTTACTCAAGCAAATCATTTTCGATCTACTAAAGTACCATTATATTTGTCCCGTTTTGTCAAAAGCTACCGGACACCCATTCATGTTACCTATATTTAGCTTTTTATATAGAATACATTTAAATGGATACTACAAAATCTTATTACTATGGCGAAAAGACCTCGGTCGATAACCTTTTGGCACATATTGTGACCAAAAAAAAATGTTTAAATAAAGATCTTATTACTGTAAATAATGTGATATAAGATACCAAGTTATCATTGATACCATTATTACATAGGAATTAACAAAATTTATATTTATACTTATTAACTAAAAAAAATAGTTATTAATTGATATATCTCTATACTTGGCATTATCAAATATATATAAATTTATTGTCAACGAAACAAATCAAACAAATAATCGTAGATATACTTTTTATATATATATTTTATATATAATGTTTATATTTTAGTAACTTTTCTATTTATAATTTGAAAGAAACCTAAACTGATTTTATTATATTAATGTAATAGAATGTACATGTAAATAGATGTAGGATCCTGATAATGAATAACATATAATAATGATGCAACCAGACTATACGTGAGATGAGACATCAATGTCTTTCAGGCCTACTACTGAATGTAACTGAACTAGAAAGTGCAACTGATAGTGTACATGGTATTTGGTATGCCAGACAGAAATGTATGTCTCATGTCACGCACCGTGTGAATACGACATAAAAATACTTAAAGTTAAAAAAAAACATTTTGAAATAATGTTCTCGTGAATTTAATGAAAAGCCGTATTACATACTGATAGTAAAAGTAACAATATCAAATATTATAAATAATGTAGATCTTAGGTTATCGTAAGATGTAGTAATGTTTATTTGGATTAATTGATTATCATATTTATATGAGATTTATAGTATACATTTTACATCTCTCTTTATAGATTTTGATAGTAGAAATATCGTATAATTAGATATTCGTAAGCACAAAAACGAATATAGATTATACTTACATAATACGAAAAACATAGTAATTTTTGCTTTATTTTATTGATGATATTTGATACATAATTCAATAAACTATCATTATATTTAGATCTAAAAATAAGAAATAAAGGTTATGGTTTGTGATTAATGAATGTGTATTTTTCTTTTGATATGTTAAATTTAACCGTTTGTTAAGATTTGTTATAATGTCTGCTATATTAAATTCCATCCGATTAATGCGAAAATATAAACTATTCTATTGTTATCTATTTATTATGTTTTACTTTTGGTTTTCTCAGCATTAAGTTGATACAATCTGAACGGAATGAAATAAGTACGGTCTTTATTTTCTATAATAAACTATTTAACTAGAAAGTCGGAACGACGCCGGACGTGTCATGGATAATTCGGTGGCTGGACGTGCCTGATCCGGTGGCTGACGACCTTAAGAGCTTAAGTTACAATTGTTTCCATTCATAGATTCCCACAGACTTGTTGCGTAATCAGCTGTTGGGTACTACTGATGGGGATTGGGATTAGGAAAAGAAAATCGCACATATATATATATATATGTGGAAAGTGTTTCGGTTTTCTTTCGACCCGCTAGTAATTTCGGTAAAGCGCTCGACGTGCGTTTCGCGGTGTCGACATTGTCCATTGACCCGATTCTCGCAGTTCCTCTGACCTTTCCGAAACGATCCGAAGACGTAGAATTGGCGCAGTTCGCGAATCTTCGGTTGTCGCGGGGCGGCGTCTCGGCGTTTTCCTTCCTCCTTCTCCTCGTCCCGACCTAACTGTAAACATACATTAAGCAAGCCGAGAAAGTGGGCTAACTGCCTCCGCCGCGAGACCGTAGCGCGACGAACCGAAAGAAACTGATGGACGAACCCAAAAAAGAAGAACTGAAATAAGTAAGGATCGTACGAATTCTAAAACACGCACGCAAAAGGGGAAACACCCTTTCGTGGCGGACAATGCTCGCTCGACCTTGGCACTGAAATGCAAATGCAACTAATTGTATCCGCTAAAAACTAATTATCGCAGTTCCTCTAATAGATTCGTGTGGATTGGATTCGGCGCAATCGAAGCAAACGCGAAAATATTTGTAGGACATATGCGACGCGCAGTAATTGCGGCAGGATTGATTAATCCGCTTGTTATTAGCGGGGGATAACAAAAAAAAGAGTGTATGTAGGGGATTCCCATTTTACGTTTGGCGCGCGCTGCTAGACTTTCAGCGAGCGTCGCTTTTTATCGGCGGAAAACAAACCAAAAAAAAATAAAGAGTAAAAAGCATAGCGCGCGCGCGGTTTTCATTCTGCGATCCCTGGGAGAGAGATCGGAAAACGACGGCCTTGGCCGTGAATCCACGTAATGACTTTTGTTGATTCATTCGCGACATCCACATTTTATTATATATTGAATAATTGTACTTCAAACGCTCGATTATAAATAATAAAAACTACGAATCTGTTTACCCTGTCAACTACATCTAATTGTGTAACAATATCCTATACTTATTGATTCGGATTTCACAAAAACATTATATTTTAACAATCAAAGAATATACAAGTAATTTGATCCACAGTATTACTGAGCTTAGATTAATTTAAACGTATACAACGCGGTACACTGTGTTTATTATATTTGACAACTTGTACAAGTAGTTGTAACATGTATAAATTGTTTAGGCAATATAATATAAGCAATTAAATAAACTTAGTACTTAAGGTGTTCAATGTCAGTGAAACATTTTCTGTCATTGAATAATATGTATCACTAATAATATGGATGTTTTATTTATATTATAATTGAAATCTTGAATTTCATATGAAAAAAAGTATACTATATATATTGAGAAGCCAAAGGAAGTTAATCGAAATCAAAAGATTTAATCTCTCAGTGTCAAACACTGCCTTAGCAAATAACTTTATATATCTAAGCAGGAGTATAAAGCTTAATTGGACAAAATATCATTTAATTATTCATACATAAAAATCTAATTAGGAACTGTATAATCCTGTTTTTTTTATAAGTACGTTTAATTAACTACTCTTACGTTAATAAAACATATATGTCATGTATAGTATTATCATTAAATACAACAACATGTTTGTCATTTATATTTGATAAAATCGTAATTGCATTCTTTTTATTAAATTAAAAATGAAAGTAACATCCATTCTCTCAACAGACTTTCCATAATTGAAATACCATTTAAGTATCAAATAATATAAGCCCAAAACTTTCACCCAATCGCAGCCAATCATTAATAAGCATTGAATAATAATGATGTCGGTGTTCTCAAAACCCAAGTTATTACGAATCTCTGTAGTAATCTTGGATGAGATTTAACAATCATTGACCATTCAATTGAAATTCTTGATACTTAATTCGCGTTTTCATTCATTCGTGCATTCGAGAAAGGGAACTGCGGTTGTGGCAAACAAACGAGCGTTTCCTATTATAGATAGTAATAATGCAGAAGTAAGTGCATTGTGCTAGTATTAATACATTTTATTCTTATTTGAAACCTGTGGAAATGCCAATAATGTACATTCCAACCAAAATAATTCCACTTGCACAACGTGAAATGTTAAAACAGAAGTACAGTAGGTGGATTACTAAAAAAATCAACATAGTTTATGTTTTGAACAATAAAAAGCGTACTAATTATATAATCGAATATATTTGTGTTATGTTTAAAATATTATTTTGACTATTAAGATATTTGGTAAAGGTGAATTGCGCGGAAATTATTCATTCAGATATTGATTGTATGTTGTACATTATATTATGTTCCGTTCAAAGTTGTATTAATTAATAAATTAAGTAGCTTTGTTTGCTGAATCAAGTGTTACGCAATTGTTCATCGCTGCGGTTTATTAATGGTATTGGTAATAGTACTATTCCATGTGTTATTCATTTTGCAAATTCGGCAAAGTTAAATGATATCAAATAAATAATGAACACTTTGTTGAATTGGGCGAATCAGCTGTGAATCAATGAATCGAAACAAAAGTGATTTGAACGTTCGAAGGCACGAACGAACGGTAACAGCGACATTAGCGATTGAAAATCGTTTCCAAAGTCCGGTTCTTCGTTTTGCGACCGTTACGTTTGGAGAAAGTAAGGCGTCGTGTGTGGAGGATATGGAGTATGCATGTATGTGCGACGATGTACGCAACAGCGCGACGGAACGAACATTATATGACCTACATAAATCTGGAGGATGCTTCGAAACTGTAAAGACGAAGAGGACGGACGGGTAGAAGGCGCGCCACACATGACTCCTTCTTTCGCGAAACTTTTCTCGCCCGCCGATGGCCTATAAATAATGCAGGGCGAATTTAGGTTTTCAGTCATTTATATTTAGATAACGTTTGGGATTTTTGTCGAAGCCGGAGCGCCACATTGGGCTCAAAATAGCAGGGATATAACATGTGTATAGTATAGAGGTGAATTTGTGTGTGTGTAAACACGGTGCTTGCTTTTCTTTCCAACTAATTCGATTTTCGTTCATCTTGCAGGAAACGCGATAGCAGGGTAAGGACCTGCGTGTCATGGATAGTACCTTCAGCAACGTATTGGAGGGGGCGCGACAATACTTCCAAGGGCTACCTGCGGCTACGGGCGTAACCTCAGGCAGCCCATCTACCAACAACACTCAACAACAGCATCCACATCATCATCATCATCAACAACAGCATCCACATCATCATCAACAACAACAACCGCAACAGCAACCTCAACAACAACCACAACAACAGTTGTTACAGCAAAACCATCATCACAACCATCACCATCCTCCGCAACAGCAACAACATCAACAGTCCCAGCAACCGCAGCAACAGCAACATCGGTTACCGGCACAACTTCACCACCAGCAGCAACATCAACAGAGGTTGCAGCATCAGCAACGACAGAATCAATTGATACAGCAACAAAGAATTCAACAGCAACAGCGATTGCAGCAACAACAGCAACTGCACCAGCAACAGCGTCTTCAGCCTAATAGAGATAACGATGGATCTGTGCGATCAGAGCAACATTCTGCTGTCCCTTATTGGGATCAGCAGCAGAACGAAGGTCAGGGTTCACACGTGCCGAATACCGCAATCCACCAACCTGCCAAGCAACCGAGCTACGGACCTCAATACCAAACCTATTTCGAGTCCAAGATCCATAAGCAGCAATCGGTGCAACAGCAGCAACAACCAATTCAGCAGCAACCGCCACAACAACAACAGACTACCCCATCGTATCCGCCGCACTCCTACCAGCAGACCTATCCCGCCTATTCCAAATACCACTCCTCAACAACAAACAATAGTAACTCATTTTCTAGTCTTATCCCCCCATACACAAATTATAAACCTTATACGAGCAGCGGTGCTGGCGGACCAGGAGGTGGAGGCGGGAGCGGCAGCAGTAGCAGCAGCAATAGCCAAGCAACGAATTATTATCAGCAAGATTACAGGCAGAAACACTACCAGGCGGAAACTGCTAACCAATATTATCAGCAGAATACACCCATATCTTACTCCAATGCCCCCCAGGCCTTTGCCCAGAAGCCGCCGACGACGGCGCAGAGCTACCATCCTCCACAAAAATCTGTTCCTACCACGCCACAGAAGTTGCTTACCGCCAAGCAGAAACGCGAGTCGCCTCTGGATCTGTCCGTGAAAACAGTGAAGACGACTGCAGACTCTACTCATATCGACTACGATGACCGCAAGTACAGGCAGCACAACCCGCAATACCAACCGCCGCCGCCGAGGGCTCCCAAAATCGACTTCTTGCCGAACTTTGGTGGCCCCCAGAACTATTACAGATATCCGATGGCATCGACGGCTACAGCACCACTGCCCCGAATGGACTTTCCAACGAAACGTCCGCAAGAGTTCCTACCCTCTCAAGTTCCCGAGAAAATTCCGAAAATGGAGTCCTGGCGGCAAACCATTGACCAGCAAATCGAGCAGAAACTGTCTTCTTACGAGTTCCAGCGTAAAGTGCCGCCAGTTATGATGATGCCGTCGCAACACCAGACATCGCAGGCGATGAACACGCAACACCCACCGCCTCAACCGTTGTTACCTCAGCAGCCGCACCCGCATCCACAACAGGGGGCGAAGAAAGCAACTAAGAATGTGCTTAACATACTGCGTACGAGCCTTCAGAACAAAGGTGCCAGAAAGTTGGAACAAGAGCAACAGTTGATGAGGCAGATTCAACAGCCGACGACGGAGGTGATGGCCCCGTTGCAGCCGAAACTTGGTATCGTCGGTCGTAGGAACATTTCGCCCTTTACAGCAGTCAGCTTGGAGCGGACCTCGAACACTCCCCCGTACAAACCGAGCATTCCTAAGGCGGTTGATTCCGTCAAGGATCAGTCCACAGATCTGGATGGCCTAGCCGCATTCCTTGCTGCAAGGATCCGTACAAAGGCCGAACTGAAACAGGTGGAGGAGACGGTAAACAATAACGCTAGTCCGCCAAAGTTGATCCACTCGAAGATGCGCACGGATATCCGAAGCTCATCGGAGACTAGTGTTTTCGACTTCCAAGATAGCGACAACGAAATGCCAGTGCTCGAAAGGCAGAGTCTCGTGGAGATGCGTAAGGATCGGAAGACCGTACCTAACCAGATCCAGCTGCCACCCAGTCCAACGGACGAACTCTTCAACAGTGCCTGCGATCAGTTCTTAGAGCAATTGCGAAGTCCATCGAAGAAACCTGCCAAGCCCAAGGCGAAGCCGATGAAGATGAAAGTGAAGAGTGATTCCGATTCGGATGCTCCACTTAGTCAATTGACTACGAGCTCCGCAACGATAACGTCGACGATCAAGAAGGAGCAAGAACAGGAGGAGGATGAGACAATTAGTAAATCTGTTGAAGTGAAACCGAAATTCAAATTGTGGGATGAAGACATTAAGCCGAATTTACTCGTAACTAAGCCGGCGAAAAAACCAACATTTGGCGATGGATCCGCCTTCCAACCGGGATGGGAGGAGGATTTGTACAGGTACAAAAAGTCGCTGCGGATGCCGAGGATGCTGATCAAGGTGTCGAGGCCGCCCAACATGCATCGAATATCGACCTCGCTGCCGGACCTGGACCCATATCCCATATCCCCTACAAACTGTGATTTCAAAAAGGACAGTGATCTCGAGTCGAACTATAGCTTTGCAAACGATTCAGAGACTTCGCTGCGCAGCTCCTTCATCGATAAGCTGCTCGAAAGGTACGGCGGTAGAAAAAGGAAACGTCTCAAAGCCGATGCTCCTAAGATTATCCAGCCTCCGAAAAACTCGTCGCTGGTACGAATACTCAAGGAGAAGGCAACCATTAGGGAGGTGTTTGGAGAGGACCGACCTGCCTCGGCACCGCCTATAACGTGTGTCGATGATCTGGTGGCGCCAGAGGATGAGGAAGAGGTTGTTAAAGGAAAGGAAAACGATAGCGTTTGGACCAAAAAGCAGCCTACGATTAGCGTTGTAGTCAAGAGCGGTACAGATAAGAAGCGAGGCAAGCGAAAATTCAGCTCAGGTTTCGACTATATAAGAAAAAAGAAAAAGCCCGTGAAGAAGGAGGACGTGGTGAAAACCGAACCAAACGAAGAAATCGGGAAGAGGCCAAGGGGTAGGCGGAGTTTGGGCGCAAAGACGAAAATCCCTTCATCCGTCCAAGAGATTCAGAAGGAGATCAAGACGTGGGTACTGAACAAAGGGGTCGGCGAAACGCAACTCCACAGGGCGTCGCGTTCCGGTTTTACGGTGAGTTCAGGCACAAATACCTTATCACTCATCTTTCTATCTCTCTCTCATTCTTACATGACTACTCACAATGTTCACATTCATTCGTGATCTCATCCCTCTCTGTTTTTCTTTACAATTTAGGATATAGCGGCGTACTGCCTAGAGAAGATTTCCTGCGATCCTTCGCCGAAGGACAATGCGGGATACACACCACTGCACGAGGCTTGCTCAAAAGGGCACTTGGATATTGCGAGGCTTCTGTTGCAATACGGAGCTCTAGTCAGCGAGTCTGCGCAAGGGGGAATAAGGTAAATTGAAATTTGAGGCCGCGCGCGCGCTAACTAGCCCACCAGAATTACATATAATTAACGCGTTATTTGTTGCTTGTCGCAGGCCGCTACACGAAGCTGCGGAGAACGGATTCGTGGAGATCGTGAGGCTGCTGCTCTCGTACGGCGCAGACCCGTCCCTCGCAACCTACTCAGGCATAACACCGATACAGCTGGCCGTGGACGATGCCACGGTCTCGCTCCTGCAACAACATTTGCACGAGCTCCAAGGAAAACCTATGCCGGCTTGGAGGTACAGCGGGCCGGCCGATCTCTTCGGTTAGTACTATGATATTACTAGGATTATGAATGAATGAAATGTACAGCGCATTTCCTCATAATTTCGAATTATCTCAATGTCTAATTAAAACAAATTGTAAATCCAAAGTTTAGTAAGATTCTAATATTTGCTTATTGGACTATTTGCCAATAAATTATTTATATTTCCTGAATAATGCTATAATAATGGGATCAATTCGTGACTTTTCAGATTTCGGTGATCGCTTTTTAAATGTTCTACAATGTTTGATTTATCACAGTTAGTTGAATATACCAAGCAATACATGTATTTACTTGTTTGTTGTATTTCCAGATGACCCAGACGTTGGCTTTGATACGCTGGCCGGTGCACCGGAGGGTGATCCCATTCCGATGGAAGAAGACATTGAGATGGAGATCAGCGAACAGATGCTGCCAAATCTGTACGCGCTTCCTGATTGCGAATCGGAGCGCTGGGTGCTTCTTCAGGACCTCTCAAACATCCTCAAGATAAAATCAAAAGAAACGCTGTTGCGTCAACTCAATAACAATCCTAGTAGCAGTAGTGCTAGTTCTAGCTCTGGTAATAATAGCAGTACTAGTGGTGGTGCGGAACGTGGCAATAGTAGTAGTAACAGCGGTGATATCAGGGAAATGAAGATGACAGAGTTCCTGGAGCGGGCCAGGTGCTGCCAGTTCTTGAATGCCAACGAGAAACTGAGCACACGCTCCTCCAAGATTCTCTTGGTGAGGTATACGGACAAAGTGAAACGGTTACTCAACGTCGAGGAAGAGGTCATTACCGGCAGGTGACCGCACGCCGACTAAGCGAACGCTAATTCTTCCTTCGCGACGTCATCACCATCATAATACCCAAACTAGAACCATCAATCAACTAACGAATAAATTATTTTTAACGTCAAGAAAAATTAATACTAAATGAAATTTATATTTAATAATACATATGATGATAATAATAATATTATTACTACTATATATATACAAACAAAACAAGTTAACGTTATTTTAAGCAATTTATTATTTTATTTGTTATTATTTTTTATTTTTCAATATAATTTTATACATACATAGATATTATATATATATAAATATGAATATATAAATGTTATTATTATATAACAAAACGAGGCACCGCAGCTGCGATTCGATATCGTCCTTTGCTGCGTACTTTCCTCGTGAATGGGGAGTGTGTGTCCACGCACTCTCGCTAAGACAATAGTTTTATTTTATTGTAATTTTATTTCAACTATTTTCTCTCAGTTTTCCTCGATTCATTGTTTTTCTTATTTTTTTTTGTTAATTTTCCATTTGTACAAAGCTTATATAATTTACGTTCCTCAGTTAAAATAGTGTAACTTGAATCGCAACTTCTTTCTACTTCCAGGCTGTAATTATGATTACGATTTAGCAATTAATTAGTTCTATCGTTGTTTTTTCTTTGTTTGTTTGTGTAACTTTCTTGCGGAGACTCTTGCATTTGATTGACACCCCACCTCCCCAGTCACGCAGAAATGTAAGAAGGATGGTTCCTTTCGTCGTCGAGCAATGAAAAATCCAGTGTGTTGTAAAATGAAAACGAACAGTGTTTTTACGGACTGTGAACGATTTTAAATGTCAAGAAAATATTTTGTAAAAAAATAATATGAAATAATGAACGTGTATATTATAATGATGAAATGGAACGAACGATAACAATAATGCAGTGCAATAAATGATGAAATAAAATAATGATCGACAAACACGGCAGACGATTTTGGTATTTGGATCTCTCGGTTTGCGCCAATATATAATATATGTATGTATGTGTGTATGCGTATACATATATGATTTCGAGCATGAAGCGAATTGACAATAGGGTATTTATTGTACATATGCATATTTTGCGCAGATCCAACCTCAACTGATTATTATATTAACTATTATTCGGTTCTTGCGTTGGCGTTTACCGGAGATCCGCTCGACATATCAAAGACAAAATTGAAAAAAAAAAGGTTGACAGGCAGAAATTTATTAAATGAGAAAATATCTATAAAAAACAATTGCAGTTTTATTTACCTCTTTCTTTTTCTGTTAAAACAAATAGAATTTTTTAAATTCAACAATATATAACCGATATTACAAAAAGGGCAATAATATATATATAAAAATCTCTACAGAAAGGTTATGTTTCTTTTTAAGCAAGCGTGCACTTCTTATTCATTTTAGGAGTGAAGCCAAGCTCCGCGGATTCGACAAGTGCATTTTCAATGTCGTTAATAATACACATTTGTTCCACGAATCGCAGGATACCATGTGAATTATTTTATGTAACGCTCATGTGCTTTACGATCTTGGCGATCATCTGCTTGCACAGTTCTGGATTGGAGAGAAGTATCATTTTGCTCTGTTCGTGCGAGTTGTATAGGATACCTTTCTTTTTGCATTCGAAATAAATCTGAACACCGCGGTTTGTCAGCTCTGGCGCCCTGTCGATTTCGCCCCAGGTATAGGACCAGTCTACTTGCCAACCTCCGAACAGGTCATTGTGTACGATGTAGGCCATCCTCTTGTCTGAGAGAATCAGAATCTCCTTCTTCTCGATTATCGGGAAATGGCAGGAATATATGTCGGTGTTATAATATTTGCCTTTCTCTAGTTCGTTGAGAAGCTTGTTTCCTTCTGCCAGGAGATTATTGAAAGGATGCACAGCCATGTCAGCGTTCACGAATCGCGGCGGTCTCAAACGCGAGGCCTCCTCATGACCGAAATCGGTGACCCTCTTCACGGTGTCAAAGGAGGTGCTGGCAAAGTCCATGACGCCGGCGGTGGGACGCGTCACCAAACCGACGGCACCCTTACCCAAACCTTTGAAGAAACCACCAACGCCTTGCTCTTTGGCACCGGATATTGGCTTGGTGAAAATGCCGGTGAAACCGTCCACCACTCCCATAACAAGACCCTTGCCGCCCCGCGCCATTCCTTCTTGTACCGTTGCCGGCTTCTTGTTGATTTGATCCCGTCGTTTTCGTTGATATTCCTTGTCAAAAGTCAACGCCGCGATACCTTTGCCCATGGCCCCAGTAATCCTTGATACTGCACCAGCAGCTCCTCCGACCGTGTGTCCAAACAAACTCCTAACACCTAGCACCAAACCCTCGGCGAATTCGCCTGGACCTTGAATTGCCCCCTATGAGAGACAAAAACCGATCATAAAAATAAGAATTAAAATTAATAAATATTTACATACTTGTATTGGCTCGTAGAAAAGATCCTCTACGCCCTGAGAAATACCTAACACCAATCCATATGGATTACCGATAACATCCAGACCGAAGACAAGCACATACAGCTGTTTCACGGTTTGACCCATGTAGTGAGCGGTAGCTTCGCGAATTAGTTGCCGCTGCGTCAAGAAGTTGTATTCACGTTGAAAGTAAGCCAATCTAATTAAGGGAAAAAATAGATTCATCAATTAACTGGATGAAGGAGATTATAAGATTATGCTCACTTGAAAATGACATCCTGCAAGTCGGTGAGGGTAACGCCGATACCCTGAAGCAGTACGCTCAAGAAGTTAGGCATATTTGTAATACCTCCTCCAGATACCATCGAGAAGCTCACGTGTATCTTGAGCGGAGAGAAGTGCAGCAAATCGTAAAAACTTTTTTGCTCTTGGATCGAGTGTGTGCTGACATGCGAATATAGTTGTTCGTTGACTAAGTTCAAATCCAAAAGGAACCGTTCCTTCTGCAAAAAAAAAAAACAAGAATGTTTTATATTTTGTTATTAAAAAATGTGTGGTATTATGTACTATATCGTCCTCCTTCTCAACAGTATCCATGACCTCCATGATGGCGTTGATGAAACCCAAGTCTACTTTGATATGGAATTCTTGAATGAGGATCTTGAAGTACTTAAACTGCTGCACCTGACTGTTCTTCATCAAGAGCTGCACGATACTCAATTCCGCGAATGGTTTATGCGCTACAAAGAAATGAATGAATATTGATGATTTGTATATTAATAACTAATCATACCGTTATTGACTGAAATCGACTTAGGAGGAGGCACCGGCGCCAGGAGAACTGGGAACGTGCAATCGTACAGCTGATTATCAATCTGTAGCCTGTTCACCTTGGCGTGCAGCTGCATCTGATGGGTGCTACTCTTCATTTGCACCCAGAGGCCGGTCTGGAAACGCCGTTTGATTTTACGCTTATGCGGCTTTAGCATAAGCAGTTCACCAAAGTTGACCTCTGTGCGATCGTCGACCATGGTCTTCTTCTGCAGTGTCTCGTCCTGCTTCTCGACCTGCCGCAAGTTGTAAATCTGGAAAGCCTTCTCCATGGCGATATTGTCCTTTGTGCTCATCTGCTTGTAGCGTTTGCCGTGCATCTTGCACGTCTCCCAAATAATGCCGGTGCTGGCTATGCCAATGTACATCACCTCATGTCTCTTCATGTTATTCACGAGAGATAGGCCGACGCCGTAGATGGATAAAGTTATTTCCCTGTCGATTTGCTCGAATTGCTTGGAGGCTTGCGCATTTTCCGCGACCTCCTGATCCATGGTGAAGAGGAGGATGCGCTGCATTCCTTCGAGGAAGGATACCCAGAATACGTTGTACTGCTCGGAGATGGGGTATTCACCCACACCGTCCATTCGCAAATCATTTTCCATTTCCTTCCTATAACCACCTTCCCATACCAACACCCTAGGTCCTGACGGATTATCCCAAGTGTAATACATATTTTGATTTCGAGGTAATTTCCTAAAATACAATTATGAATCAATTTACTTAAATTTAGGGAACGGAAATTCGCCTACTATTAAGTTTAGTAAATTGCAGTCTCACAAATATTTACTTTCTAAATGGTTAAGAAAACTCACCTAATTTGTACTGATCCTTTTTCCCATAAATTCATGGTATGCATCGTATTATTGATAATCAGAGCAGGAGCGCTGCCGTGATCGTAAAGGGCCAAATTTATGTAAACAGCGCCTTCAGTCATTTGTATATCAACGTTAATACCGCCATACTGAAAAATATAATTATCTATCATCTATTCGTTTATCCACCGCTGTCAATTACTTACTTTATTCTTTAGTTTCAACAAAGTAGTGTGGCTCTCGGTGATCATGAAGGGAGCGGTGATCTCATCAGTATCAGCGATTCGCACCCGGATTAATTTATCATCCTTTTCACTGGATGGCCAGAACGAAGAACACGCCTTGGAGGCAACCAGAGTCCAGGGATCTGCAGGACGTTCCACCTCCTGACATTCGACTGTGAATGGAGTGTTGTTGATGATCACGTTATACGGCGTGAAGATGATCTGCTTGGTCAAGCCGTTGTACGTCAAGCGATTGCTCACACCAATCTAGAAAAAAAACAAAGCACCACTTTATTAATACTCGACAAATATACGCATTAATTAATGATTAAAAACATTTGCAAAGTTACCTGATGCAATTTTTCGTTGTGCTTGCAGATGATAACTCCCGAAGAACCGGCCACATCGATAGAGAACTTGTCGGACCATTCACCGTGTTCAATGCGAACACAGGCCTTTTTCTTTCCGAAGAAGTTCTTGGCATTGAATGAGAATAAGATGGGTCCCTTGAAATTGGCCGGATGATTTAGGATGTTCGCATTCTCATCGGTGCTCTGCAATTTTCGCCATGTCAATAAATTGTAAATCAGTAGACTATAAGCAGACTCGAATTAAGCCATGCTCAATAGATTTTGCAAACTATCTGTACAAACATGCAAATATTGTATTTTCTTTTTTGCGGGAAGGTATATTATTGGAAACATGATTTAATAACAGTTAATTCGAAATATTTAACAGCACACAAGGTGGAAGGAAATTCTTTCATGACCTTTACGTTGGAATTGAAATAAATATATAAAACGGCGATCAAAAAAAAACATCTTCCAATGATTAAATATATTTGAGGTTTGTAAGTTGGGGTGCATCATTAATATTAAACAAAAACAAAATGAGCAAAGTGAATGAATTTGGGAGGGTACCTTAACGGGGCTGCCGGACGCCTCGTTCCGCTCAGTCTTTCTAGACTTCTGCAAAACACCGTGTGAAACAGAGAGGACTTAGAACCATTTTATGGAGGGATGGGATTATGGGTTACTCACCCTGTAGCAGAGTGCTAATCCAGTCTTGTTTAGCATCCAGAACGGACAGTATAAGCTCATGATGAAACTTTCATTCTCAACAAGGATGTGCATGCCCAAATCAAGGGACACCTTCTGTGAACTATCATAACTATCGAAGGTCCAAACGGTGAACGGTACCGGATTCTGGGAAACATCATGTTGACACGACCACTCCTTCTCCAGATAGAGGGGTAGCTAAGGAATAAAGTAAACCAAATAGCTTTCATTTCTTTTTCACTTCATATACCATATTAAATTTCACTTACTCTTATAACGATATAAGTTTTACCCGGCTCAACATTGGGAATTTCGAGGATGTCTCCCGGTTTGATCAGATGATCTCCAACCACATTCTGCACGCACAGTTCTATGTCGATTGGAAGACAATTTTTGAAAATGACTGCTGGCCTCAAGAAAATGTTGTACACGGTACTAACCATCGTGTGTTTGATAGTATTCTCGAAGTAAATTTGCTCCATTTGACCCACAGCCTATACATTCATTTTTTATATTAAATAGTAATAGAACTTTTTATATTTACACTTTCAATATAAAAGTGTAGACAACATATTTAAATATAATTATACTGCAATCATAAAGTTTAACGAAATGCTCTTATTAACGTATGCTCTATTTAAACACTTCATTTAAAGTTATTTCCGCCTCGGGTCGGCCGGTCCTACGATCGCTTCAATACGAATCCAAACTTCTTTTTCAAAATAGTACACTAATACTACGCTTCGCATGTAATAATAAATATTTACTTACGCGTATGACAAAAGATTCGTCTTTTGCGGTTTTGGAGGAGCAAGTTAAGGTCTTTGATAAGGCTACATTCAACTGAAGATCCTTCCAAACATAGGGAGTAGTCGTAACGGAATAGTTGACCACCGAGAAGAACAGCTCACTGGTTTGAGAGTAGACGGCACGCATCGGTACATACATCGCAGATTCAGGAGAGATTGTGGCTATAAACTCTAATTCATTACCGCTGTCCCTCATATAATACATATCAATCGGAACAGAAAATTTGTTATAAACCTAAGAACAAAATAATTAATAATAGACTCATACATATTATGAAAATATTATTACTTTTAGAGAACTGCTAAGTGTGATTTTGGTGACCCCATTGACAACTTTTACCGAAGAAACGAGACCCCAGTAAATTGCCTTTTTCTTCATCATGAAGAACCTCTTGTCTGCCTTTATCACAGGCAGATGCAACTTGCAGTTCATATCTTTAACTTCGATGGTCAAGAAACGATCAATTGTCTTGGCAGTGCCGTTTAGTATTTTGGCTAAATTCCTAGCATCGTTCGGCCTGTCCGTCTGATCGCGTAGCTCCAATTCGATTTCGGCTCCAGACTCCAGATGCACAAGATTGGTCATCTCACTGTTCTTTGCCAAACAAAAATGAGAATCATCGCTAAGTAGAAGATCGACGGGAATTCCAGTCACGTTGATCAGTTTATAAGGAGCAGAGATTTCCGTCTTGGCAAAGGACGCTTCTGAATCTTTAACGGCGGCTGCGAAAAGTTTGCCCAAACTCGAAAGCACTTCGATGCTGGTCTTCGTGAGGGTCAACTCAAGATTATATGCAGAAGAAACGTCAATTACGCATGCGGCAGTTGTCTGAATCTGCTCGATGATCTCGCCTCCCTCTTGCGCGACCATCGATCCATTCATTGATTGTTCATTGCTATCGGTCGGATCGTTCATCGCCACCTAAATTTAACGCAGAATTAAAGTAAATCTTCCTATTACGAAAAAAAGAAAATAAAACCGTGTACACTTACTTCTAATTTTAATTCCCAAGGTTTGTGTAAGGTGACTCCATTTTTGATCTCTTGTATGGGTTCGATCAAAGGTTCCCAGATAGCTAAGAAACTGTTGTAGTAACTCATTTGAATGGTGAGGATAGATTCTATAAAGATCTGATACCACAACGCTGATTAATTTGCAATTTATTTACAATACTAATAATAATCAAACCTGTGAACTCCAATCATGAATTCTTCCGTCGAAACTGGATTGGAGTAAAAGCATGGGGAATGTGTTGTTACCGACGCCGGCTTCCAACGTTAACAAGATAGAAGGCATATTCACGATACACAACTCACTCAGTTTAGTGGGTACCTCATTGCCGCAGGAGTCCACATTAAAAGCTACCAAGGCATCTGCGGCCGTGTCTTCTGCACCATCAAAACACGAACATTTTTTATAAATTAAACTCAAACATAACAATTCAACATACCTTTCTTGAGGAACCAAAAATCAGTATTTTTATTAAAATTCCACATATCCGTGAAATCAATATGCTGGTTTCCCTCTTCATTCTCTTCAAGCGCACTTGCAGGAGATAAAGAAGCCATAATCCTATTCAACACTTCTATTGTGTACAAGGATACGCTAATGCATACGTCAGTTAGATAAATCTATAAGCAAATATTAATTTTAAAATATGTCCCAAAGACATATAAATAAATTTAATACTTCAATGTGCAGTCCCTTTCCTTCAGGCGTGGATCCAGCCACACTAATCGTCAAAGGTTCCAAGACCGGATTCCTTGTAGATTGTCGCAATTTCGGATCGAAGATGCACGTGTACATTTGCATGTCTTTTATATTGCCGTTGATACTCTGATGTGTACCGATCAATCGCAGCTTCAGTTGAATTTCACTCTAAACACATAAACAATATAGTCAATAGTCTATACTAATTTCAAATGAATTACATACATTTAGGATTAATGCTCTTGTATCGATCCTATCCATGCTTTCGACCAAGATAATATGGGGTTTCTCCAATTTTAACGTTAGCGACATCATAGTTTCCTTCGCTTCTGTAGTAGTCGCAACAGGCTGCTGCTTCGTTGTTTTGACTTGGGCCTGCGGAACGACTAACGCTCCAGTGAAAAAGTTTGAAAGCTTAAGCATATATTCCATGGAGACAATAAATGTAAAACTGTAAATCCTGATGTCGACTAAATGAGAGAGATAAAAAGTTAGCAAAGAAGCACCAAATGGACTGATAATTGCTTACTAAATGTATCTTCCTTCTTAGTGAAGGTAATATCAATCATGTTTCTGTTAAGCCCCAGAACGCTGTCCGGAACGCCACGTTCTTCCACTGGGTCTGCAGTGCGACTGAAGAGGCAATTGATCTTATCCTCCCTTCCAGGTCTAGTGTCTGTGAGCAAGCAGTTTACTAGTAGCAGGGCGTTTGACATCGAATTGTTGGATAACAATCTTCCCCGCACTGCAAAACCTTCAAGCGCCAACTCGGCCAAACCCTCCCGTTTGCCTTCGCTATTCAGAACAAATAGATTGATCTTAAAGCATTTCATAATGAAGTTCCAACGGAGAGTGGTTGTGACTAGTGAATCGTCCCCTGTGCCTGGTGCGTTGTTTATCTTCGCATCTCCAGTAGGATCGTCCGAAGCATCCGCTTCCCTATCAAATTGGTCTACAAGAATTGAGTCACCGGCTTCCTGGACATATACATTTCCTTCAGATAGGTTCCCATTCAATACCTGCATCATTGTCCTGTAATCTGGTTCACCCAATAGCAAATGAATCGAGTCGATGTGTCCATTGATGTCCAAGTCGGGTACCGCCTTGTACCAGGTCGAGAGATTCCTGCTAACATCAAGAGTGAAGGTAACCGGTTCAATTAAGGTCTCCCTCTCGATAATTTCTAGATTCTCATTCATTTTAATGCTTTCGAAACCTAGTCGTTCTAATTTCAGCATTAGCTCATCGATGACAACTCGATAACCGGCTTCGTTCTTTATATCCAGATCGTTAAATTTGTTGGTGATGGTGATGAAACCTAGATCGACCAGCAGACCGCTCAGACTTTTCGAGTTCTCTGGAATTATTATCTCTGGCGCTTTCAAGTGTATATCTAGCGATATCTTGGTGGCCTTTTCATAAATACTCTGCATGTTCTCCTTCGCAGTTCTCGCTGCTTTCTCAGATGCTTCAGCGATTGCTCTTTGTGCTACTTGGAAGCGATTCATGAAATCCTAAATTAAATTTAGTTAAATAGAACCATTAAATATAATCATACATTAAGCATTTCAAATAATTCAATTGAATTATGAGATAACTCTTATTATTACTTACAATCATATTAGAAATGTACCAGTTTACAAACGACACTTTCATGCAACCCAACTTAACAGCGACCTCCATATCGACAGTAGTCGTGTCACCAGGCTCCAAATTATGGATAACAATTTTTACATCCAATGCTTCCTGGTCTTCGGCTACAGTGAGTATCTTGTTGTGAATATTCTCTTTGTTCATGTCTAGAATCTGAAGGTTTGTCAAGGTAAGATTGATAGCGGTAGAATAGTTCTTCATGGTGATGTCTGAACTGAGCCCATTGATTGAGATCAAAGAGATACGGGTATTTATATTCTCGAACATAACCGAAACCTCGTTCAAACGCGCCTTCAACTTAAACAACACCAACGTCCGTGATTTGGGTTTTCTAATATTCAACTGCTTTTCTGATATATCTGAACAAAAAATAGAAATAAATTGGTTAATTAAACAATTCAAAATATTTGTTTACTGAAAATGTATAATTTTATAAGAGAATACATACGGGAGATAACTGATAACCTATGTAAGCTTCCGCTCCTTCTTCTCGAAGTAGAGCTGCTGGTACTACTAAGTCTAGAAATTCGAGATTTTTGCCTAGGTTTTTCAGTAATATCGTTTAATTGACATTGTAAGTCGTTTGCAAATCGCATCAGATCCTGCAAACCTTCCTGGTGCAAACGCAAAGCTAAGATCGCAAAATCGACGGAAAGCAAGGCCTCGCAAGCCTCGTATTTCGTGACAAAGTCGGGGGACTTTTTATCAACCTAAAGAATAAACCGATAATTAAAAACTATGGCAATTGGCACAAAGATATTTACTTGTAAGAATTTAACGTTAAAAAGGAAGTCCTTGTCTGATCTCGGTGTTGAAATAACCTCGATCGGTTGATTAAGACCGTTGAGGAATTGAGACATCGATATGCTTGCTAATGAGACATCCACATCCATGTTGAATGTTTGCTGAACCATGTGACACCTCATAGAGTGCACGTTCAGGATGGCTACATCTTCGATAGGCGATGAGAGCATTTCCTGATGAGACAACTTTATCGTAATGTCTTTAAGCTCGAAGTCTACCTGCATCTTGGTTAATTGGACAACGTTCACGGCGGCGGTTGACTTCCTGGGATGAACAATAACGTCTGACATATCGTTATGCCTGTATAGCGATGTAGAGCTAACGCTTCGCGGCTAAAATTGTTTATTGTTGAATTATGGAATATCGTGGCATAATGTCGATATTTACCAAATGTTCTATATGCACAGTCTCTTCTCCAAAATCTGTAGGGATCGATTGTAAGAGGCTGAGTAACAGAAGCAATCTGGTGTCTGTGATGTTGACCAAAACCGAAGGTAATACGCCGGCGACTTTGGTTGCTGGTAGCTTGACGTCGTCTGTTATCAAGCAGGTTTCCAGAATGAAGTGAAGATCTAATGGTTCTAAGATTCGCATGTGTGAAATTCCCTTATCGTACCCTTGACCTATACAATCCAGCCAATTCTCGTCGCTCTGAGCCAAAAGAATTTGCACGTTGTAAATGTCTAGAGTGAATCGGTCGTAACTCTGCGACATGAGCTCATGCATCATATCTTCCTTGTTGATTCCACGCTTGTACATCTCTGAGACATTAGCTGGTGGATTTTCGGTTACGTCGCGTTCAATTGATTTGAACCGGAGGCGACCCAAATTTACCACAAGTACATTCTCGTTACCGGTATAACAACCATTGTAGGCCATAACCACGTAAGGAGCAGCTAATTTGATGTCTAAATCCATGCGTGCATGCTGCTCGATTACGTGTTGCAATCCTGCAGCCGACATCTCTCTAAATTGACTCAACTGGGCTGCAGTGACTTGAGACAACCTGTAATTCAACAATACGATTTATTTCCTTTTGAAAGAAATGAAGCACGCAGACTTACTGTTCTAGAGCACTATACGAAGGAACTTTGAAAACGGAAATCACTTCGCGTATTGTTGCAGCGTCGTAGACAATCTTCAAAGGTTCCACGGATACGTGAATCCGCTGTCCGTAGTCCGTACCAACCGGACTCGTTTCAAAAAGTACGTCTAATAATGTTCCAGAATCGTCCACCTGTGATGTGATAATTTCTGGGATATTACCGTCAGATTGTTGCATGCCATACATGCTTAAATCCTGAATGTTTACTCCAATCTTGAGCCCGTTTTTCTTAGGTCGCTGCTCGATGTGACATCGCACATTCTGCAACTTCGTTTTAATAACGCTCGAGATATTCTTGGTGTCGTTGCTAATATTAATCTCAAAATTCTTCAGATGAAACTTCACGACCACACCCACATAGGACTCCGGATAATTCTCCGGCTGCATGTTCTCTTGGTAATCAATAGCGGCAAAAAGTTTTTCTTTCTCATCACTGGTCATAGCCTGTTGGAATTTGGACACTAAAACAAACACAAAAATACAAATTAGTCAACATGTTTCATTTAATTGGATTTGCATACAAATATTGGTTGATTCGTCGATCTCATGGGCGCTATTACTGCTCAAACGATTCCAAATCGTTCCAAACCAAGTCTTCGGTTTGTTATCTTCGACCATCTTATTCAATTTATCTATTTCAAGCTGCATGCGTTCACGAATTAATACTAGATTGAAGAAATCTAAGTGCTTCTCAAGATTCGACAAGTTCGATTCATCATCGTTGGTAAGCTAGAATTATATTGGATTAATAAATGATTATTATCGATGAGTTAGCTGTACTAACTTTTTTCTGAACTTTCTTTGTCTTGTACAACTCCGCGTAGTCCTTGCATTTTTTCCGGTGCTCCAGCATGTGGACCCAATCCCATTCCTTTCTGCGCCTCTTGACCTCCGTCTCCACGATACAAGTGTACGCAAACTTCCACCATTCTTTGTAATGTCCGCGATAAGAGGACACGTTCGGTCGGTATTTCCGATACGGCAACCCGCAAGTCTGCAGACTCATCGAATCCGCAAATTCTACCACATCTCTATATTGGTCCTTGGTAATTCCTGAAGGTTTAACAAATATTATTACATTTCCTTGCTTCATTGCGAGTCACATCTACCGATTGCCAGATTGTCGATTATGAGTTCAGCGTGGGCCTTTGGTGTGGACATTGGCGGTTTGTCGTTTTCCGGTTTCATATTCATTATCAATCGGGCGTCGGAGTTAATGGGTCCCAATACTAGAAATGTTTCACAGTTAAATATTTAGCGACCACCACGTCTGATGCATACTGTATTTGTAATTCGGAAGAACGTTGTCTCTGGAAGCGATGTCTCGCTGAAAAACTTCGATGAGTCGGTCCTTGTCCTGAATATCGCTGAACATTTCTGTGTCACAGTTCCAATAAACGGATAAACTATCTAGGCAGACAACCTGTAAACATCAAATGAGTAAATGCGCTCAACTGATTAATAACTTCGTACTTTGTAGATCATCGAGATAGCTTCTTGGACGATGGCAGCCTTCCAATTCTCATCAGTGGTCTGCACTTGAAGATTGTTCAGCGTAACACCCATAGCATAAGGCCTTTCCAACCGCTTCTCCTCGTATCTCACGTGAATCTTTTTGATGGATAATTGCACGTTCTTGATGATTTGTGCGACCAACTTTTCCACGAACGAATCATCGCCTTTCTTGATGCCTGCACAAAAATTAAAACAACTATTAAAGATACATGAAACCTATACAACTGTTGCAACGAATCAAACACAAACCTTTCATTGCTTTGGCGGCCTCCAACCTCTCCAGTTGTGCTTGCTTGAACTCCTGGTGGCGGTGCTCCTCCTTCTCAGGGTCATACTTGACTTCCTTGTTGGGTTGCACAAGTAAGTACAGTCCTTCCACGGACACCTCGACGGCTGCGCCATAAAGATTCTTCCAAGGTATTTTCAATACCAATTTTTCTAATGAAAACAAACGGTGAACATCAACTAATTATGAGATGATCGACAATTGAATTACCTAAGCGTCCATAGACCGTCTGCACGGGCAGATCCAATTCACTCAACGCGGACTGCTTCAACTCTAAATTGTTGAGGACAACATCACCTGTAATAAAATAACAAAATCATATAAGCTAAATGCGTTACCATGGAATCAAACGTTTCGATTCTCATTTTTTATCAATCGATAATTCGGAGACGACTTTTCACTAGACCGAATAGCATTCTATTCTTTGTATTTTTCTTTGTTCCAGCTAACAGAAATCGATGCGCCAAATACGAGTATGACTATTTATAAATAGAGGCAGCGCAGAAATGAAATTGCGTAATTAGTAATGCGTCTGCGATCCTCATAATTGGTACATCGCATTGAATCAACAAAGGAGGATTCCCCTCAGAGTACCAAACACTATGATTTTTATTGTGTTTACTTCAAAATACAAAGGTTACATATGTAATTTCAGTAGACCGTGACAAATCGCGGTTGCGTAATCGCGATGCTATTTATTGCCGTGTTGTATATTATTTCAAGAGAAAGTTTACATATGATTATGCAATATTTAAAATGTTGAGTTTATGTGTATAGGATTAATTAATTCAACCATTTGGTATTTATTTATATTGCACAAAACTAAAATTGGAACGACTTATTTCCTCCTATCCAAGTTTCTTTATTTTTTTTCTATATATTAGGAAAACATAAAACTATTGATTCATTATCTACAACAAATATAATATATAATAAATTGTTTAAAAAAAATATAACAAGTAAAATTTAATATTCAACAATTAAATGAAGGCAACAAAAATGTTATATTTAACAATGTGTTATATTCTAGACTTGAATACAGTGGAACCTCGCTTAACGAACACTTCGCATAACGAGCATTTCTCTTAACGAGCAAAATTAATTGTAAGAAAAATGACTCGCTTAAATAGCGACGTTTCGCATAACGAGTGACAATGAGAAGAGAAGTCCCGGAATGCGCGCCTGCTACATCATTTTTAAAACTTGTGTACACATATTATGTGTATTTTTTATATGTTTCACTATACGAGTAAAAATCCGGAACGTATTAAACTCGTTAACCGAGGTTCCACTGTATTAAGGAATTGCTCGCTTGAACCCACTTTCAAATTAATATCTAAAGGGATGCATAAAACACGTGCGACCCATGACCTAAGAATTTGTCACAGCCGAGATAGATTTATTTTAGTCTCCATAGGTCATCATTAAACTTAATTTAAATGAACCTAAATGTCTACATTACATACAAATTGTATCATATCCAACTTTAACACACAAAAAATAGCTTAAATTTAAAATGCTTACTATTATTATAGTTAATCTACACTTTTGGCATTAATGAAATTTCTTCTTCTTCTTTGGTAAATTTATATCCCAAAATATCAGATATAATCACCAATCTATTTTTGTAAATGAATCATCATTTATTCTAGATAAATTTCATGTCAATTTCTGTTTTCATTTTTTATTCAACTCAAGTGTGAATTGCTTTAGTTGATATTATGAGTCTTACATGAAAAATAATCTGAGAATACATTTTGTTGCTTATTGGAAATCTAAAATAACTAGTTTTATATGAATTTTTGTAATCTACACGACTCCATTTTTACCCATATTTTTAAAAATCGAACTTAATATTTTACAACAAAAATGTTTCATACATTGTGAATCAAATGCATAAAGTTTTTTTAGGAAGGAATCTAATGTTCCATTTTTACGACTCCACATACATCTAATAATAGAAATACCGATAACACTACAATCCTTTCGAACGACGTAATCCCTGACTGAGCAATACATCCAAATCAAAGTGTAGAAAATTAAAAATCTAATAGTGTAGATGAAATAAATGCAAATAAAAAGCATTCCGGATATACACAGATATTACAGAGATAATACACATGTTAGCAATTGTTATTTCACTCATCAAAGTGCATTTAGTGGGTATTGTACAAATAATGTTATCTTTATACAATATTGTTAGATAACCATTATTATTAAACTTATTATAGACTAAAGGACTATCAACCGAAGTCTTTCCGTCAAATAGATAAACATTTTTAAAGTATTGAATAAAACTATGCATTAACCCAATTTTCCATAAAATAAAATGGGAAAAATGATTAATTATTTAGAATATGCGAAATAAAAACAAAAATCAATATTTGAAATACTGCATATCTTTTTTTAATAGAGTATGCCATGGATATTAACATAAATCAGATCTTCACTAGTATAGATTGTGTAGGTTTGAGTCAGAATAATAGAAGTTTGGGAAGCACTGCTTTAATTGCATAGTGAACAGAATTAGAATAATATGCATTTTAAACTAAAAACTTATAGCGAAAATACCAAGAATAGCAATTATACATTTTGCGACTATAAAACAAAGGTTGGTTACAGTGTGAACTAGTTTGGACAGTGGTTTCCAAGATTTGTCCAAAGAGTGTAACTTAACTCGCACTGGCTCGCGCCTTGTCAATATAAGTTTTATTGATTTTCAGATAAATAAATAAATTTTATAAATAAGCTAATCAATAAACAATTACTACTGTATATAAATGTATACATTCCCAAATGGGTAAATAAATAAACAAAATAATATGGAATTAAGACCATTGAATCTATGTTTATTTTAAAATACTCAACAATCAATATGTAAAATAGCATTTATAGAAAATGAAATTATTTAGATTGAAACGGTTGAATTGTTTCCTCTAATATACCGGACTGTTGAGGAATTTAATACATACAAAAATAAACCGTACAGAGACTTGACTGTATAAAAGTAAAAAAAAAACAATAATTTATGTATAACTAATATATTTTTTTAAATTTATTTTAATTTTACTTAATTGAAATTTTCAAACTAGACTATAGTGAATTCAGACTGAACGAAGCCGCACTATGCGTGGTATTGCTGTATATAGTATATTTCGTGGATAAAAAAAGTTTGGAAACAACTGCTCTGCACGCTTGAAAATATCAACCATTTTGATAAAAATAAAAATGATTGAAACATTAGAAAAATTGTACGTATAGAAAGTAAAAAAAAACTAAATGCGGAAGCACTCCTTCTGAGATGGAACGTCGATAAATTAGGAGTGGAAAGTAGGGCTCGTAAAAGGAGCGTGCAAAACAGGTACAAAAAAAAACAAGAGCAAAAGAAAGAGTAATTAGCAGTTGGTTTGGAGTAATTAAATTTCGTGCACGTTTTATGTAATTGACACTAAATTCGGACGGCGTGAGTGAGGTGCGTTGTTTTGAAAACAGAGCGCCTGATATTCAAATGAGTCGCGATGATGATAACATAGTATAATATGTTGATTAGTTTCCTATTGCGGACGATGACATCATGCTGGAAAGGCAACAAAACAACATATCGATGCCGTCGTCTAGATAGATGCCTTTCGCAACTGAATCCCATGTACCAATTTCAGTTTGTAAGAATGAGGTCACAGGTCGCGTCGATTCAAGAGATAGAGAGAGAGAGAGATAGAACAACAAACGGACCAAGAACTTGGCCACTCACCGCCCCAGATGCCGATTTTCAGCTGCGTTGCATCCAAATTCTCGACGTAGTTCCCCAGGAAGCGATTCAGCACGTCCGTCACAACCGATTCGAAGACCATCGCGACGAATTTCAGAAATTTCTATAGTCGATTTATTGAAGTGTTGTTGTATTGCGGGGTCGCATGCGGCGCTCGCCCTGCGTCGCGACGTCCACGACGACCACAACGACGTCCTCAGCTGTCAGGAAATTGCTGATCTCCTCCAATGTTTTCGCATGTGTTTCGCTCCGCCCGATCTGCTTCACTATAAACAAAGCGCACTTTTGTGTTACCGCACCGAACGTCAAAATATCGCTCGACTGACAGGCGAACACATGGTCCTCATCTAGCGCAACGCAATGTTCGTTCAGCTCTCTATTTGACTTGCGTCGACGTTCTCTTCTGGTCGCAATGATAATAATAAAGTTGCCTACTTACATGTTTGAATCTAACGTTTTTGCGCACATTCTATCCTGCTCGACCAATGTCATCTTCATACCTCATCACCAGAGGCGCAACTCTCTTGAAAATATTGAATTTCTATAAAGTTTTCCAATAGCATTTTACTGATTTTTTTTTCATGTTTCATCGACAACGTCTACAATTAGGAAATCTATACCTTGTTTAGGTATAGATAGAACTTGATTTTGAATAATATTCATGTAATTTCGAGGGTTTTTTTTTTACAAAAGTAGCGTCGCTATGGTCCGTCAGTCGGACGAAATATCTGGGTCCACAAAAAATGATGGGACCACAAATCTAATATCTACATTTGAACAACAAACACTTGTAGTTTTTTTCCAATAAGAATGTGAAATGTCAGTAATTGAGTAACACTGGTATAGAATATACTTTACCTCTAAATAATAACATATTAAATATTTTCTTATATTCCACGACTCAAAGAGAATACCAAACTCATTATAATAAAAAGCATTTTATTGGATTTTATAATTTGCTGGTCGATCGCGAACAATAAGACATAAAAACTATTTTTTCTTCATTTCTATATTTTACTTGATATCGATTTTGAAAGAACTTGATTATGTCATTGTCAGTCATTGTAACATATATTTCATTGTAAAACAGTTGAACTTATTAATGTTGAAATAGGGAAAATCATAGAGCCCTAAGCAACCATGATACAAATATATAAGGTACACCCGGCTGTCCGTCATCTTTCGCGTATGAGGTTTTTGGTAACGTAGTGTCAGATTGACAAACAATAAATAACAATATACCAAGCCAGACATTACAAAACGATTAATGTTATGAATTTTTAGCTAAATAGTATGCTTAACGAGCATAATAAATTGTAAAAATGACTCGTTTAACGACGTTTCGCATAACGTGTGACGAGGAAAGGAGAAGTCTCAGATTGTGTGGCTGCTACATCATTTTCAAAACTTGTATTATTATTTGTATTTATTAATGATTTTTTTAAATTTAATAACACTTGCATGTCTCCGAATAAAAAGCGAAAGAATAAAACTAACCATAGATACGAAAAGCAAAATCATTAAAAAGCGAGACCAAGTTATACTCTTTTCTTTCGACATGGAACGCATTTTCATATTTTACATTAGTTTATATGGGGAAAATTATTTCACTATACGACTAAAAATCCGGATATTCTGGAACGGATTATGCTCGTTAAGCGAGGTTCCACTGTATTTCAATCATTTATTTTTTAACCCCAATATTTCTTTTCATCCTACTCTTCTTCATTTATAGGTTTGGGTGGAGTGTCAGTTCTCGTAGGTTTAAGTATTTGAGGGCCATAAACATTTTATATGCCCCCCTATAAATCCGTCCTCGACCCCATCGCATTGTGGGGTTCGGTGGTATTGTTGTTCCACCACCTGTTTGTTGTATTTTTTTATTATAAATATCAGCTAAATGGCAGAGGCTTTACCAAAAAGGAAGAAGCAGGAGGAAGGAAAAAAATTATAAATATTTAGCTACTTGTATAATAATTTTCTCGTTTTGTTGCATAGAAAAAAAAACTTATACATATTACATTACAATAAATAAAATAAAAATATTATTTCATTAAATCCTTTCTAATATTTTAAATGAATTCAATAAATAGTTTGCAGTTGCTATTTTTTAATCTACTGTGGATCTGAGAAATTTACATTTGTTTTTGAAGCGAATTGCAAAAGCACATTTATTTACATAATTTGTATTTGTTAAGTGACTGATAAGATTTCAAGGTCGGTTCTGGTTACTTGTATCGCTTTTGTCGAATTTCCTGCACCTACGTAAATTGCCAATCTCTTGTTTTATCAATCAATTTGGATATATGATATTATGAAACGTCAGCTTTATATTGCATTTATAAAGCATTCCTTAGTAAATTGAGTTCTGCAATTGCACAGAAATGAACCTTATCAATTTTCGCAAATAGCTGATATTTGTATTTTTATCAGAATATAAATAAAAAGATTACTCGATATCCTATACTACATCAAATAAGGGACATAAACATTAATAATATTATTATTTTTTATTAAAATTGTGTTAAAAACAGATCAATAAGTAACAAACAAGTTTAAAACATCAAAACAAAACTAAAAAAAACTATGAGACGTAAGTTCGATGGTTTATTAGTGGACTCAAAGTTGCAAAATAAAAATAAATCTCAACTCACATCTCAAATCAACAAGAAATTTCACATTGAATTGCTTCCCACAAAACATTGCAACATTTTAGAAATTAAACTAAATGCTTCCCTATTTTAATATATTTAAGTAACAATCTCTCAGAATACATGTGAATAATATTAAAAAAAATGTGTAATGTGTTATATATATATAATATAAATAAATACCTATTGTTAGAGAATTAAGATCTCCCAGTTATGTACAACCAATATGTAAATAATTCTATTATTTACATGGTGTAAGGCCACAAACTTGTTCCAGTGTTTGGATATATTTATATGAGCTAGAAACATTCCTTGAAATAAATATTAATTTTTGTTCAAAATAATTTAAAAAAACAACATATGCACTATGTGCCATTTCTTTTGAAAAGAATAATTGTATATATGAATAACATAAATATATGAATATGCTTAATAGATATGTGGGATTAAATCCTATAAAGATATTATAAAAAAAAATGTTTCAATAAAGTTTAGAATGTATATAACATTTTCGTAACGTAAGTGCATTAATGCAATTTTGGAATAATGATGCCACCATATTATGCAACCTATATGCTTGCTCAAATTATAAATTTTACGTAATTAATTAATTTGCTTTATGTGTGATGCTATTTAGTAGTTCACTGTTGGTGATGTGACTGTTGTTTTTTGTGTGCTGATGACTCGTTCACCTTGGGCCAATTCCCCATTTCGAACACCATTATATTTCAGCCAGGCGTCATAACCATATGTGACCATAGCAATGAAACCAAATACACCTGCAACTGAATACCCTTCGAATCCAGCAGTCACAGCTAAACAGGAGGCAATCAAATATAAAATCACCCAAACGGCGCAAAAAATCATCTCAATCTTCAGCCATGGCACCTTGTAGAACTTTTCAATAACATGGAACAGGTAGAAAGCCAACAAAATACCAGTAAACCAAAAACCAGTCATGGCAACTGTGTTAAAGTATTCAGCCCGTGAATAATAACTTAATCCACTAGCAGAAATACTTATGAAACCAACAATGTTCAATACCTGAAATAATTGATTATAAGTAAACAAATGTAAATAAATAATCAAATGCAACTTACAAGTTGAGCAATTTTTAGAATTCCAGGAATTGTCTTGACATAACTTTTATCAAACCGCAAGGTGGTTTCAACCCTTGTGTTAGTTGTGACTGTTGTCCTTGTGGTATGTTGATTGGGAAATCCTGCCTCAGCCATGGCTCTACAAATTTAATTTATTGATGAGCTTTTTTTATTTCTAATAAAATGATAATCAATGATGCTACTCAATTAGTCATCACCAAAATTAGACACAGAGCACCAATTTATATAAAATGAAAATGGGGAATTTGCATATTATTCCAAATATTTACCTGCTTTTATATTACAACTGCCTGTTGATACAATCGAAAGAAAAAAAAGCACACGGTGGTGAATTCAGTGACCAACGAACGTCTCAGTTTATATTTAGTGTACACTTAACCTATGCGTGTATTATTATACGTTTCCCATTTTACGTTTATTTCTTCAATGTATCCTATTACTGTAGGCGTTTCGTTGCGCAATATTTTCCATTTCAACAAACATACATACAGACCGCTCGAACAATCGTGGATGTTCGGAGAACATCGCTTCAAATGCGAGCAATGGGTGAAATTGATTCTTTTTCATTTACTTTCGTAACCTACATCTAAATGAGCATAAAAAGTATTACATTGATGTTAGCTTTATTGACTTTATTTATGTTGATGACATGAGTTACGTTTAAATATGTTTTACAAAATTATATCATGTTTAACACATCCTGCAATTCAAATCATGCCGTCATGCATGACTCATAAATGTATGCTATTTATATCTTTCACTTCTTCCTATATTAGCAATACCAGCAACGTGAGAAACTGAAACAACTTGTTAGAAGGGCGTTTTAAATACAGGTGAACGATTTTTAAGAATATCGTTATGTTGGTATTCTATATACTCAATTTAGGCGGTTCCCATCTACGGTTTAAGTCAATTTAACATGTTAATCCAGATGGAATAAATTAACAATTCCTTGCTAAATATACATAATTTGTTCTTGAGAATTAATTGAAATTGATTTTTTATCCACACATAAGTCTGGCGGAAAAAATATTATAACTTCTTTGTGAAAGGCAACTCTTTCTTTATGCAGTTCCTACTTGTTCATTCTAATTGGTTACTTCTAGAACTTTAATTAGCATCTATATTAGTTCATGTCTTTTAATAACCTTCAGTTATTTATTATTGTTATGAATTTGAATTATCTATTATTATCTTTTGATTAGAACTCTCCATAATATTTTCAACGTCCAGGCAATCTATACTCTTCAGTGAAATACATTATTTATTGCAAATTACTAAGTCAAATAAAATTCAATAAATACGTCAATGGATATAATTCTCCTGGAATTTTCACATTAATAATTTGAATATACTAATAGTTATGTTTGGAATTGTAAAGAAAACAAACATGATATAAAACATACAACTAATAAACATACACATAAACTTTTTTTTGTAAGTGATAAACAGCCATAATATTATGATGACAATTTACAACTCATAATTGCATAGAAAATCTATTAATAGGTAATAAATGTCACTTGGTGTCAGTTGCTCACTAATTTACTGAAGACTTAATGTCCAACCTTCTAGCTTTTCTAGACTACATTGGAAAGCACAGGCCCGATTGACCGGTAATTAGCCCAATTGGGCCCCCATACAGTTTTAGTTACGGGAGGGTAACTAACACTGTTTGGGGACCACAATCACTCTTTTTTCTGGAATGTCGCCTCCACCGCTTTCACATTTTTTTTTAAGTTGACTCACCATCCATGTATTGGGGCGGGGGCATTTCATATTTATGTCCGGGGGCTCAAAATCCAATTTAACACATTTGTAAAGAACAACAGTTTTGGTTCGGGGGTTGGACAAGCCTAATTTAAATTGAATAGAATGTAAATAAATATTAGAAGACATTAATAAAACTATAAAAATATGCTGTATTTTATTTCTCAAACAGTTTCTCAACTCACAACAAATAATAACGATACATCGATATGTTAATTCATTATGGAATGATATACTTCAGGATTCAAATAATTAAAAGATTAATAAATATAATTGATTTTGCTAATTAATATCGATAATAGCTTCGACCACATACACAAGATCGTCATCTTTCGAGGCAGTAACGATATCTAGAATAGTTGAAAAAATAAAATAAATTACTAATAGTACCTAAAAGAGAAATGTTTACTCACCATAATCATCGAATATAGCTGTCGGGAAGACGGGATTCCTTGTATGATGGAATATCGTGACTGTTTTAGAATTACCGAATTCAGATTCCAAACGCATATTCCAATAGATAATTTTATCTCTGAAAAAAAAGCGTTTAAATGGTTATTGCTGAAGATTATTATGTAAGAATTCTTCACTTGACAAACAAGGATGAACTGATGCGGTGCAGGTTCACCCTACATTCCCGCAGTCCGCAATCGAGAAGACTCTCCAGCGTGCTGCTCTTGGTGTGTAGATACTTCTCATGCACGCTCTTGATAATGTCCGACGTTTGATCTGGCAGGTTGCATGCTTTGGCGACGTACAGGAATTCAGCAATCAAATGCAAATTGCTCAGGTAGTTCAGCTTCTTGGTGAGATTGGGAATATTCTTGTGGTAAGTATCTTTGTGCAGCGTCATCTTCGTTATGCGAGACACCATCCCCTTCGGATTGGCCGTCGTCATGCGCATTTTGCTATCCTGACGATCATTGAACTCCCTAGAAACAGAAAAAAATAAATAACGTTAAATTTGATATTACAAAATGCTTACATCCATTTCTTCGCGATTTCTTTGGAAACGTTGCTGTGCTGAGCGCTGCTTATCAAATGGAGATAATCGTTCTTAAGCTTTTCCGATCCCAACTCGACTAGCATTTGCAGAGCTTCTGCACAAGAAATGTTCGGCACCGCCAATTTCCCTTCCAGCAGGCCAAGAAGGATAGTTGCAATTGACGTATCATTATCCTTAAGAACTTTGAGCTTAATGAACGTGTTGTTGGCGAATTCCTCGAATATATTCTTGAAGCAAATCTTCAAGGTGCCGACGTCCTTACACACTGAAAAGGAAAAAACAAAATTTAATATTTTCATCATACAGACTATTCCGAAATTCACTAACCGACCAAGTTGTCCCATAACTTATCCAAAAAATCCTTCTCCCTAACCAAACTCAGCTCATGATTCTCCTTCTTATCCTTATTCGAAGACTTTTTCCTAAATTGTTGCATCTCCATGGTCATCTCTGTTATACTGCTGAGGATGTCCATGAGATCGCTGGGATCACAGGACACCATCTCTTCCTCCAAATCATTATTCTCCTCCAGTATACATTTGAAATGATTAAGAAGCTTCAGCTGCTCCCAATTTACGTTCAAAGGTGATTTCTCGTGCCCCACAATAACTTGCATTATCTTAAATTGATTCTGTTAATAAATACATCTAAACCCATAATAATACGTGAAATTACCAATGAAGCAGAATTAACCCCAAGAGGTTCATACATTTTCTCATTCCAAGTTCCCTCTATCAAAGCAGAACAACTGTTCTTTGACTTCTGCCAGTTATGTTCAGCTATCTTCCAACCAACTACTGAGTATAAGGCTTTAATATTTGTGTTGACCTTAGTCTTGTAGTCACAATTCAAATAATGTTTCTCAATCATGTGATTGATGCTTATAATATTTTCTGTTTGTAGGAAACATCCAGTAAATAACACCCTGGTCCTGGTGAATGTTTTTGGATTTGTACCAAGCACCAAAATTTTTTGTTGATTTTTACCATCACAAATACAATACACCACAGGCTCCAACTTATGATCCTCATTGCAATCGTAGTTCATATTCACAGTATTCAAACATTTCCTATATTAACAACTACACATTTAAGTAATAATTCAAGTATGATCAAAATTATACCTAGCACTATTCAAATCAATTGGGTAATGCCTGTTCTCTTCAGGGCTCCAATTTGGTTCCATTTTTGATACCATAGATACTGATATATCACACAAGTCATTGTCCTTCAGATCCAACTCCAATGGGTTTCCTGTGAGATCAATCTCATCACACTTAGGAGATTCAATTGTTTCACTTTCAATAATTTCCTCACACTTTATCATTGGCTTTTCCTAGTTACATATGTGACTCAATAAGAAATATGAAATCAGTAGTAACAAAATTACCTCATTGAAGACCATGTGGACAGTCTCATCTGATCTGAATATCTCCTGTAAATATGAAGGCATCTTCATATCGACCATCACATTGAAACTCATTTTCACTGTTTCTTAAAAGTTTCACACTTTTTTTGAATAACCGTAAAATCTGTCAGATTCAAATTGTTGAGTCAGGTGTGCATCACTGCAACTGAAAAATAACTAAATTTTATAGTTAAAGGCAACCCAATTTACAATTAATAAATTCCCGCCCATACAAATTCATTCGTCATGTGCTGCCAGGCTGCATCACGAAAATCTGATACGAAAGGTCGTTGGTTCGATTCCCAAAAATACCAACAAAAATGTGCAGTGGCTGTTAAACCCGAAAAGGGTAGATATAGGGCCGGAAGAGATTTATATCAATAAATAAATTGATACAAATCTCTTTTTTATTTAAAAAAATAATTAATTCGTAAAGAACACATACGCAATGTTCAATTCGTAAAACAAAACCTATCTTTGTTGTAGATCCATTTGATAAATGAAATAAATATAAAATGATGTTATTTTTTTATGAATTTAATGTATTTATTAAATTATAAATAGATATTATAAAAAAACTTAGCAGTTATCAATTATTATATGGGCTTAATTTTAAAATGCAAGCCAATCAATGAAAATACTAGACACTTGAGGTCTTGCACAAGATAGTAGAAGCAACGGAGGCCTTCTGGATCTTTACTTTGGCTCACATCCACCAATGAACCAGTTTTGGATGTAGTGAATGATATATGTTCGTCGTTGATGACAATTTCCAACTCTTGACGACCAATACGATCTGGTGGCGGCCACAGCGAGTCGTCTTCCTGCATAATCTCGGAATCCATGATGATGCGCTTCAGCTCATCCATGACACAGCCATGTACATAGACCTCCTTCCTGATCATTGTATCATTCTTGTAGTTAGAGTTGTTAGCATACCTTAGCTTGCCATCAGGACGGAATTCAAATTCAAGAAATTCATGTCCAAATTTCCCTTTGTGGCCCACATAGTATCTAATGTAGAAATCAGACATCCTAGGAGAAACGATATTCACGAGATTAAATAGGTTAGAGTTTAAGAGGGATTACAAAAACATATATCAAGTTTGGTTTCTAGCCACTAATAAGTAATTTAATGTAGTAAGTAAATATAAATTAATAATTACCTAAATATATGTCCGTAAATAATTCACTAATTCAGAATATATAACAAACAAGCAATAACGACGCGTCGAAAAAAAAACACAGTTAAGCAGGAATGCCAAAATAAGGATAAAATAAACAGGACTATTTTTTTTTAATTTACAGGATATACAACCTACTAAAAACAAAAATTGAATTTTATTTCCATATATTTTAAAAATCAATATAAATTCAATAGTAAATAAAATAAATATCATTCTTGAGACGTAATATTGCCTATTGCCTATATAAATCATTCGGACATTTCGTCCCCGGATACGAAGAGCAAATTCTTCAATGAATTATATATACTTTCATCGCTCTCCGCATTCTTGAGCATCTTATCAATAACGAGTCCTCCATCGATTGCGCTTTGTTCGTCTTCATTATCCGAATCAATCACGTCTAATCCTATCGCGTGATCTCTCATCATAACGTGGATTATTGGATACTCGATAATCATCTTCCCTCTTAAATTATCCCTGATACTGTCCTCAGGATCCAATTCGTAATACTTCTTGCCTTTCTTCTGTTCCGCCTTCAGAAGAATCCTAAGAGCCGGCAGACCAGATGCTTGGTAGAATTGCATTCTTTCTTGCAATACTTTGTCTTCCTGCTCATTTAAATACTTATCAAGGACGCTGCTGAGCTTTTCAGTTTCCGGTACAGCTTCGTCTGAGAACTTTAAGTTATCCGCGTTCACGAACACCCAGTCAAGGTGCCAATTGATCACACAACCTTTAAGTTTCGTGGAATTAACTTTCCGCCTTTCGAAACTCGGAGGAAGGAACTTCAAGTTGATCTGCCGAGCGTATGCTGCCTTCTTTAACCTGAGCAAATACTGAAAAAAAATTAAAAAAAATCAACATCTATCATCAATGCAAATGTAATTAATTATTTTACATGGGGCAAATCATCGAATCTCCTATAACGCGTCAAATCTTTCTTAATCACTTCAAAATTCCTTGTAATCTCCTCCAAAAGTCTGTAGTCACTGGACAAGTCAAGATTCGTGAATTTGTTCATAGGCACGAATTTCGTCCTATCGCGAATGCCGCTGCACTCGAGCTCCTTCTTGTGTATTGAAGAACATTTTAAGCAGCAGGTGCGAACCTCGCATTTAGGGCAAGTGTATTTTGCTAAAGCAACTGAGCAAACCTCACAATGAGTCAATCTGTAAATGAATTAAACATTTATTTTAACCTTTATTAACTGTGTTTTACTTACTTTTTATCCACCGTCTGGTCAACATTTGAAGTGGAGGGTGTAGTATCAATTTCCATTATTTAAAATATTTAAAGGGATCAAGCACCTATCTGTCAATGCTAATGCCATGTGCGTTTGTTTTTTTTGTCGTGTTTTAATTATTTTTATGTTGGCGGGCTTGATTCATCTTCGACTTGAAGTTCGTCGCACGAATTTTGAAGTTTGTTCAGTTTGTTTTCAAGACTTAAACGCATTCAAAACACACGTGTTTTTGAGGTTAGTAAGATGGGTAAGAAAAGGAAGCTGAAGGATAGTAAAGACGACAATGAATTCGATCCAGTGCCTAAGCATCTAGTGACTGCACACGTGAAAAACCAGGAGAAACGTTTGATCATCATCCTGGAGGATGCTCAACTTGAGAGTGTTAAGGTAAAATATATCTTTCTATCATCTGACATTTACTTATTTATCTATCATATTCTCTAGGTGGGCAATGGTTTTGAGCTGTTGAATTGTGATGATCATGCACACATCCTTAAAAAGAATAACAGAAATCCATCTGAGGTGAGGCCTGATATTACACATCAATGCTTATTAATGCTGCTGGACAGCCCATTGAACAGGGCTGGTCTGCTGCAAGTGTATATACATACTAAAAATAATGTGTTGATTGAAGTAAATCCTCAAACAAGGATACCACGAACATTCAAACGATTTGCTGGATTAATGGGTAAGTTGACATACAAAGTTTTAATTAAATCAATGTTAATTATTCTCGTTTCTAGTGCAATTGCTGCATAAGTTTGCAGTTCGTGCCAGTGATAGCTCAATGAAGTTGCTGAAGGTTATTAAGAATCCAGTGACTGACCACCTACCAGTGGGTGTAAAGAAAATTGCCATGTCTTTTTCATCAAAGGTTACTCCTTGCAGAGAACTTGTTCCTACAGAAGAACCAATTGCCATAGTTATTGGAGCTATGGCACATGGAAAGATAGATTTAGATTATACAGAGGATACAATTTCAATCAGTAATTACCCTTTGAGTGCTGCTTTGACGTGTACAAAGTTATGTTCTGCGTTCGAAGAAACCTGGAACGTTTTATAATGTTTATTATATTATATAAATTTTAAAATAAAATAGTTTATAAGAACATCTATTTCTTTCATTCTTCAAAGAATTCTATTTTGCAAAAAAAAAGAAACAAAACTTCAATTATTTTTTATAAATGGAAAATAATCGCTCTACAAGGGCAGAAAGACCCATGGTCAATAGTCCTTTGCAGCAGTTGACTTATTTATTTTAGTTTAATTATTGCATTGAGCTTTTTAAAGTTTGTAGTTTATTGTTACAATAAATATTTCACGCATATTTTTCATATGAGTTAAAAGAATATAATATTTTCATGATCAAGAAACCAATAGTTATATTTGTTTCACGAGAGATAACAGTCTATGCTTCCCTTACGTCACATCATCTACAGTGTGGTTGCATAAGCTCTTTCGATTTTGTCAGTGATAATTTAGCAAAATTTCGTTGGGATGTTAAGAAATTAATTTCGTAATTTTATGATGGCAACAAAATCTTTGGCAACGGCCACAGTGAGAGCCGTTAAGAATAGAAAAATTCTACCATCTAGAGCTGCTCTGGTTCTGGTAAATACCTTCGTGAAAAAAACATCTGAAGCATAACCTCAGTTTTGTTGCAAATTAATATGCAATATTTTTTTTTAGACACAATCAGCTGTTTCTAGGATTAAGGAGATTTTGAAGGACAAGGATAATTACGTGAGAAATTTTTATACATTTATATCTTAAAAAATACAAAAAAAAAATATGTGATGGTTTTTAGATTGGGTTAAAGATTGGTGTAAGACAGAGGGGGTGTAATGGACTTTCCTACACTTTGGATTATGCAGAAAAGAAGGACAAATTAGATGAGGAGGTGACTCAGGATGGTGTTAAAGTTATTATTGATAAAAAGGCTCAACTAACTTTGCTAGGTATGATTGAATAAATTTGAAACATAAATGATAAAATTAATTAATGTTTCATAAACAGGCACAGAGATGGATTATGTGCACAACAAGCTGAGCTCAGAGTTTGTTTTCAATAATCCAAACATCAAAGGAACCTGTGGATGTGGTGAATCATTCAGTGTGTAGTAATCTCTAGGACTAGTCAATATGTAAATATTTAGATTATTTATTATATATTCAATTCCTGGTTATGTAAAATATATATTGTTTGTTTTATCACAATTTGTTTTAAATCAATTAATAAATTAGAAATTAAAATAATATTAAATGTAATCAAAGTAATTTTGGTTGCTGTTTCAGAGCTGTCATGTCCAAGAAATTGTCTTGCTGTTTGTTGGATTGCTTATCTTTGTTCAGTAGATTATACTTTTCCATATATTGCACTGTGGCCATAGAAAATTCAGGCCTCCTGTTTATGAGATTTGTTGGGTAGTTGGGCTTTGTTTTGCTTAGAGGTTGTTTACCTTTGTTACTGTTCACTTTAGCCAGCTGTTCATCAGGTAAATATTTCATTAGTAATTGCTTGACAGCGAAACTGATTTCATTGGGACTATATTCTGAGCTGTAGTCATTGGAATCATCAATTGGTACATTGTTTGGCAAATTAACACCAACACTTTTAAGATGCCTCAGTGTAGTCTGCTTGACTTGCTTCATTGTGTTTCCTCCCAATACCTGATGGTTGTGCTTCTGTTCTGGAGAATTCTTCAGCAAATGATTCACCTGATCCATTACATTGTTGTAAATAGTCCAGCCAATTAGGGAATTCTTGCTTGGTACTTCGTCGTCTTCACTTTCGGAGCTGAAATCCTGCATCTCCACGTGAATACTCTGTTCAGGGCTATGGCATTCTTCCTGTACAACAATTGGTTCGTTTAAAGTGAGCGATAGATCTGTTGATCTATACGGTTGAATGGGAACATTGACAGGTTCAAAGATCTCCTGTATTTTAGGCCCCTGATAACAATTCTTGTTAGAAGGAGATGGTTTGAGTGATACCTCGAAGCTGGTCATCACATCGAACGCAAATTTAGGTAAAACCCCCTTATTCGGATCAATCGTTTTCAATTGAATGGGTTGCGGTGGTGTCATTGCAGGTTTCTCGTTTCTTTCTTGCAACAAAGTAGACACCTGCTTCTGCAAGCATATCAATTGCTCATTCTGTTGTTGAATAATTTTCATCAGATCTTTGACAGTTGGCTCATCACTTGCTTTCTCTTGAGGAGGCTGCTGCTCCACTCTAGGTTCAATTGTAGTAGATTCTGCCACATGAAAACGCCTCTGAAAACCATTTGATATTGGTATCTTTTCAACTCTTGAAGACTCAATAATGCTTAAATCCAAATTTCTATTTGGAATGTTACTCAAGTAAACCTTCTGGAATGGCTTGGCTGGAAGAATATTATTGGTACTTCTTGGGGCATTGTAAATGGGTGCTTGAAATGTATTCTCTTTTACTTGAGGTTGTGTACTGTTTTCCATTGGCAACATTGGTCTAAATGGTGCTTGTACTTGTGGACTCAGGAAGCGTACTTGCTTTCTTAAGATACTGGCCTGGCTTTGAGGAGCAGCTACTCGTTGAACATTCTCCTTCCCAAATTGATTCTGTATTTTCCATGCATTGTATGACATCTCCACCTTTTTATCTATAGGCACAGTACCATAATTTTGTTCCAACATTGAAACATCAGGGACATGTGTTGGTAATATCTACAACATTTTCAGTTTTTCAATTGTTTCAAACAATATGAAAGCTACTTACATTTGCATTTGATGCCAAAGGGACAGCGGGGCTTCGAAACATCGGGGGTCTCCTTGGAGCATCATAAAAGGAATCCATGCTTGTAGAAGTTAGTAGAAATATAATGTAAAAATAATTAAATCTTACTGTCACATAAAACTTTTCAAATACACAAAAACGGTCATCGTTGTATATTATAATGATTCTTATGACACATGCAGCTGTACCAACATCAAAAAAATGAAAACCAAGTATTCTATACTGCAATTTAGTATTATTTTGAATGTAAATATTTAAAATTATCCAGGACTTCTAATTTTGCAACATTATTAAATATCCATTTTTAATTTCAAGCTACAATTTTATTGTTTATTCAAATTTGTTTAACAAAATTAAAAAATTGTATATGATGTTAGATAACAGAATACATAAGTAATTGAAATATTACGAAATTATTTAATTATCAATACGTTTAAGAGTTTAGTTAATTCAATTATTGTTAAAATACTTGGAGTTGCGTAAGTTTGTTGGGTTGTCTAAGGTTTCGAAATATTTTTAGTCTGGTCTGGTGGTTCATGCAAATGGGTTTCGTGTGAAATTTGTTGCTCGGTCGGGTTAAGCGGGTGGCGAAGAAAATTGCCGTTTAATCGATTTGCAGTTAAGAATCGGCATCGATTTTATTTATTTATTTCTGATATGTCACGTCTGTCGTAAATGTCAAAAACATCTGTATGTAGTGAAAGGTCATTGACAAATAACTGATCCCCGATATATCGTGTATATACATACATACATTAGTTATAACAATATACCGAGTGTGTGAGTAGTCAGTACGTTCGAGCGGCGAGAAATTCGTAGTGTCAGTAGTTGTATTCGACTAGTGTGTTTTTATTTTGGTTTGTGTGGGTATTCGAGGGTGGCCAGGCCTTAAAGGGTGGACTCGTCGCTCAATCAAAGGACTGATAACTAAGATGAGCTTCCTTTTGTAAGTATAACTACCTATTTATGTTCAATATCCTTGGGTTTCTTCTGGTGGTTTCATGTAGTTTGGTTTGTGTGAGGGGGATTCTTGTCATCAAGTTAAAAATAGCATTGGGAAATTGGCATTATTGATATTGGGAAGTACACATCAAAGATATTCCTTACATTTGTTTGTTTTGCCGGAAAGATGTAAATGATTCATTCCCCTAAATTAGTCATCAATGTTATAAAGAGAAACCAATATGTGATCATAGGTATTGACTTATTTTTTTGTCTGTTTAGTGGAAGCCGCTCTTCAAAAACCTTTAAGCCAAAGAAGAATATACCAGAGGGTACTCATCAATATGAGTTGATGAAACATGCTGCTGCAACACTAGGTTCAGGCAATCTGAGGCTTGCTGTCATGCTACCTGAAGGAGAAGATCTCAATGAATGGGTCGCTGTGAACAGTGAGTCTCCAGGCTGTGCAGGTAAAAGTAAAAGAATTAACATTGATTGCATTATTGAATTGCAGCTGTCGACTTTTTCAACCAAATCAACATGCTCTATGGAACGATAACGGAGTTCTGCACGGAGGATAGCTGTCCCATAATGTCGGCGGGTCCCAAGTACGAGTACCATTGGGCGGACGGTCACACGGTCAAGAAGCCCATCAAATGTTCCGCACCCAAGTACATTGACTATTTAATGACGTGGGTGCAGGACCAGCTGGACGACGAGACCCTTTTCCCATCTAAAATAGGTAAATTCCATCGTCGTACATCAATCGTTCAATAACACTACTTCTATTTGTGTTCGTTACAGGTGTGCCGTTTCCGAAGAACTTCCTGCTGAACGCAAAGACAATACTGAAACGGTTGTTCCGTGTGTACGCCCACATCTACCATCAGCACTTCAGCGAGGTCGTTCAGCTGGGTGAGGAGGCTCATCTGAACACCTCGTTCAAGCATTTTATATTCTTCGTGCAGGAGTTTAACCTTATCGAGCGGCGAGAGTTGGCGCCGCTGCAGGAACTCATTGACAGATTAACCGCCAAAGAAACTCGATGAATCAGCGACAAAGTCCCGCCTCTCGACCGACGCCCCGCCCACTTAACTTAAAAAACCCACACGTCTCTCTCACTCAATCATTCTCTCCCTATCCTACTGTGCCTCTCTTTCTATCTCTCTCCCTTCCAACTATCTTCATCCGAAAGCAACCGATGACTTGCATTTAAACCTCCGCTTCCCCGAAATGTTAGTACATGTCTGGATGGATTTAACACTGATTTGTGATACGATTTTCATGAGTAAAATTGCGGTTTACTTACATACATCTGCTTTATAAATATTAATATCTATATATACATATAAATCTGCGTTTCATCATATTCTTTCTCTCAATCTCTTTGTCTCTTATTTTATATATATACATACATGATATAACTAAAATAATTTGTAGGTGTTTAGTAGACTGATGGAATTTACAATATTCCTTTTATATACTGATGAAATTAACGTTTCAATTCGAAAATTAGTTTTTTACATGAAAAGAAATGATATGATATAGCTTATTTTTGATATCGACTCGACGACAGTACGTTACAGTACATCTTGCTTAACATTTACGCGCACTTTACGATTTTCGTTGTATTCGTGTTTGATTATTTTTTTTGTTCTTTCTTTATACTTTGTTTTATATTTCGGCACACCACACAATCACACACAATAATTATATATATACATATTGCTAACGATCAATCGTTCGTCACTATTTAATAATGATGTAAAGAGAAACAAAAAGAAAGCAGGTTGCAAATTAATTTGTGCTTAAATTTCAATAAGAAGAATAAAACGTATTATCTAATATTATGATTAATATAAGCGTATTTACTTAGGGCTTTTCAATATATATTTTATTTTCAATGTTTGATTGTTGAAGATTCTCGTGTTTCTTTTTAATGTATATATATATATACGTTTTAATCTGCACACAGACACAACACACCATAGACACACTTGCGACTATTATTCTCTTTCGATCTTTTCTGAACGATATTTTATTTTCACTTATATTATTTTTCTTTTAAGATATATTCTACGATCATATGTATTTAGACAGTGTTTCCTTTGTTTTTTTTAGCTACTGTGCAATTTGTATATAAAGATAATAAATTTATTATTTCAATATTTAGTAAATCTTATGTTTCTATATCTATGAACAAATCACCCATGTCCATCTCCTAAAAATAGCTATATTTCTATATTGTAATTTTCAGTTCTTAACATATTGTAAAACAAGACATGATCAATTCTTATTGGATTAATATAAAATTTACTTTCTCCATAGAAATTGCGTTTCCTATATTATAGACATATTTATAATTTTCAGCATTGAAAAATGAAAAGCCTAATAAACAGCATGTGAGACTAAATTATATTTTTAAATTTGAAAGCTACATATGTAGCTGGCGAAATTGTGCTTGATTATCAACCATGAGTTTTTTAAATGATTATAAGATTTGCTCTGGCTCTAAAATGTACAAGTATAATTAGTACAATTTCAGATTATTTATGTTGATGGATGATTATGCGGTAATAAACAATAATAATAAAGTTGTATTTGTTTTATTATTAAAAAAAAGGAATATAATACAATGCAAATTTTGTCGTATATAAAACTAATATAAAATGTAAATTGTCTCTTATAAATTAAGTGCATGGTCCAAATGTGGATCCGCATGAGCTGTGCCTTCGTCCACTGAACCACGCACACTTCATATATATATATTTGAATTTATATATATATATATAAAAAAAAAACATTTCGTAACTAAACTACGTCTCGACCGTTTTACTTTTCCTTTAAACTAGCAAAGAATGTAATAATAAAATAATAAACGTATGAGAAAAAAAATCAGTACCTTTTTACAGAAAGAGAAGGAATAGATAGAATTGAATTGATCCTAATAAAACAAAACAAAAATATATATAATAAAACTAAAACTAAAGATTTAATTTACAAAAATATAATAAAATGCAAAATGAAAGAGAATGAAGTTTAAACTTATCGAACGTTATAATCAGAGATACATCAATACCAAATAATTAAAAAAAAATGTACATAATCCATATTTATATTATATAAATACATTAGTATATATAATATATATGTATATCACCCCGAAGAAAAATTTAACGCTACGATAACAACGACTTCTTCATTTTCAACTATTTAATATTAGTTTTCCTCTCCGTCGATCCGTCCGTCGGATATCATGATCGACAATGTTCATAAATTATAAAGGGGAATCATCACAGATCTATTTGTTTCATTAAACTTTGTACGATCTGAAAAGTCTAACAATACAAATTAATAATAATAATAATAGATTTTTTTTCATTATAAATAAACATCCTTAACCTAAATTACACAAAATATATATTTATATGTATAATAGAGAGACAGTTTGGGTGAGAGAGATTATTGTCGCTTCCGAAGAGAATTTATCCTTTCCCTAAGAGTAATTATCTCAAAAATAAGACACGTGTGTGTTGTATTTTTTCTTCTTCTTTATAGTAATCATCATTGGTCGAAGTTTAGGAATTGGTTAGAAAATAGTTTGAGACTGAAATCTAGTGAAATGAAATAAAAAATCTTAAATGTCTAACTAACAATATAAAAATATTATATACAATATATAATAAAATAATAATAATAAACTTGGATATGTCGCAGCTTTTCATGTTTTCATGCCCCTTGATTTCATACTTACCTTATAATTATAATATTGTTTTACGTAATTATTTTACAGCGAGTTTAAATAACAATTAATAATAATGATAATAATATGGATATTTTGTGGGCTATCCTCGTGTGTGTTTAACTTCTTTTCTTTAGTTTCTTTGTTGTGTATTATGTATGTTCAGAGTACGCAAAGTAGTATTGTAAAGTTTCGGTTCGGGGTTGGGGTTAGATGTAAATCGCATCCGAGCCTTTGTTCGTTTGGTGCGTAGAAGTGTAGGTATTTGGGCTGGTGATGTTCTCAGACCAGTCCGAGTTGCAAGAGTGTGGCGAGCTGGAGGACCAGTGGCCGGGGCTCTCGGGACTTGGCGTGGAGAAACAGCTGTCGGGGATGTTGTGGGGTGTGACGACGTCCGAGTGCTGGGACGGAGGCGTCAGGTAGTAGTTTTGCTGATACTGCTGCGGCATCAGGCTTGGCGGCGTAACGGTGTTGGCGTTCGCGACATGCGACGCGTTGTAGGGCAGCTCGAGGCTGGCCTGGCTGAAGTCGAAGCCCATCTGCACGGCCTGCGTCTGCGGAATGCCGCCATGCTTCTGTTGAGTAGCGGCGCGCATTGCAGCGATATGCGTAGGGCTGGTTGGTAGGCAGGGCCGAGTCTTTGCCGGCGATGGGGAGCCGTACGCTTGCGGTGACATCGACATATTCGACTGCACCGAGTGCGGCGGAGATTGGTTCGAGTATGGTGGACTCAGCGTATTCGGTTGCTGCATCTGCCGCTGTTGATGCATCTGCATCTGCTCCGGAAAGTTTGACATGTATGCGTTGTAGTTCTCCATACTGACCAGATGCAGCGACTGGTTGTTGTTCTTGATGACGTCCTCGTAGGGCGGCGGTTGCTTGCTGTTCACCAGCATACCTTCCAATCCAGCCGTCATCCCCATGTTCGAGTACAACGATGCTGTGTCGTACGGACTCGGCAGGTTCGTCATCGGCGACTCCACGGGGCTCAATGTCACAGAAGAGTCGACGTTCTGCACCATCTCTGAATGTTGCATGGCTCCCTGCTGAGCCTTCTTACCCTTCTTCACACTGGGCTTCCGTCTTATGCTGCCAGTGTTGGCACCCTCCACCTGCGGACTCGTCGGTCCCAACGGCCCGTTGTTGTTGTTCTTGCTGGGCCTCTTCGATTTCTGCCTCTTGGGCACGATCACTGTCGGATGTTGGATTAGTTGTCCAGTTGGCGACGCTGCAAATTGATGGAACACTTTCGATTTAATCAAAACGTCCGTGAAATCAGACAAGTAAAACTTACTCATCATCGAGTTGTTCGGAATCACGTTCACCATCTGCGGACTTCTGGGTATGTGCTCATCCAGCAGCCTCACGATGTCGTGGTGCAGTCGTTCGCTGGCCACGTCCCGTGGCGACCGATCCATATGATCGGTAATCTCTCTGTTGGCGTACGCCTCTAAAAGCGCTTTGCACGCCTGATATGAACCTTCGCGAGCGGCAAGGAACAATGGAGTCTCATCCTGCAAACACACAATAAACATTAATTGCATTTATTATATTACCTGAACTGATTAAAAAGTCAACAGTATCTTTTTCTTTTAGTTTAAAAATGTGTTGAAATTAAAAAGTACCTTATCATCTTGGGCATCCCTATTTGCACCATGCGACAACAATATGTTGACTGCCTCTACGTTATTAACAGCTGCTGCCCAGTGCAGCGCTGTTTTGCCGGAATTATCAGCTGCGTTGATGTCAGCTTCGGCGTTGATCAGATCTTGGACTGTTCCCTCGATGGCAAGACGAGCGGCTAGAATTAGCGGCGTAGTTCCCTCGTGCATTCTAGCATTTAGATTGGTGGCTCTGTTACGTAAAAGAATCTGGAAGACTCCTTGTGCGTCGGCGGCGACGGCTGCATGCAGTGGGGTACGGCCAGTGTTGTCCTGAGCGTTGGCGTCGGCACCCAAGTCCAAGAAGCGTTTTGCGTAGTCCGCTCGAGTCAGGCGAGCAGCCAAATGCAAAGGAGTCTCTCCGGTTTTGTCCATGGTCGAATTCAAGTCAGCACCTTGCGCTACCAAGTTCTGGATGACAGCACCTGCCGTATCATCCTCATCTTCCTCGCAGGGTTCTAAACCGCCGCCCCTACTGATAACTGCAACCATTATGGGAGTCAATCCACAAGGCCCTCTGGCATTGGCATCGGTGGTATCACCCTGTGGAGGAGTGAGCATAGCCGACGGTCTAATATCAGCGGCTTCCAAATGCTGATGAGTCCAGTGTCTGGGTTCAGCCTCCTCATAATCGGTGATTGCCGTTTGGTCGCATTGATAATCAGTCTCCAGAACGCGCATTCTCTTAGGTTGCGGCACCTCGGATTCATCGTCGGACCACTGTTGCCCGTGTCCCATGTGTTGTCCGTGCATATTCATATCTAAGTCCATGCAAGCGATCGACGGATTCTTGTTAAGGTTTCGCATCTCTTGGCCATCTGGGCCGCGGCGCCGGGATCGTCTTCTTGTACCGGAGTTGGTGCGTAAGAAACCTTCAGGGAACCAAGTAATACCCGCAGCTCTTTTCCTCTGAGTGGTGATGATGAATACCGCGCATATGCCAAATAGAACAACGAAGAGTATTCCGTATAGAACATACTTGGCATTTGTTGTTGTTTCGTTGACGGAATCATTGGGACTTGTGGAACCGTTCACTTGGTAGATTGGGAAAGACGGTGAAAGCGTGTGCTTTGACGCTTTAGCAGCAAGGAACTCTGCAGCAGATGTGGCTGTTTGGAAGCAAAGTTCGGAACTGGCCGAAACGGTGGTACACTTTCTGTTATCTATTTCTAAGTATACATTGACGCCCGATTGCCCGGCGCCACCTGTAGCTTGCGGTTTCTTTTCATAGTAAGAATCTTGGAAACTGACTGGAGTCGAAATCATCCAAGGGTAAATCATGTCATTGCCTAAATCGTCCTTCTTGATTCTCACTGTCGTTCGCAGTTGATGACTTGTATCACGCAAGAATGCAACCACATTTTGCTTGAACGTTTGCAAATCCATGAGAATGACCATCGATAAGACTCCCTCAGCAACTGCCGGCGGTTCATTTTCACAGTCCAAACCGTCCCAATTACACTCTGGATTGTTGCATCCATAATCACAGTGTCCGTTGGCGTAGTGTTTCTGGCAGTAGGCATCATAAACTGGATTGCAACGCTGCAATGACTTCTGGCAATCATAGCCATCAAATAAACATTGAGCGTTATTGCAATCTTCGTTGCAGATACCATCGCTGAATACTTCCCAGCATTTGATAGGCGCCGTGCAATTAACCCATGGGTTCATACCCAATGAGCAATCGTTGCCATCGAAATCGCAAGCGTAGGTGTTGCATTCATCATCGCACTTGTAATTACCACGTTTTGATGGACACTTATTTTTGATGCACTGTTTCCTTTGAATCTCCAGATCTTTGGCATAGTAGATGGTGGGATCCTTACGCGAAACATCCATCCGCGTTCCAATGCCACCTTTGAAGTTGGGATCGAAAAGTTCGCAATTCTTGCCATTGCGTTTCGGCGGACAGTAACAGATGTAATCACCCAATTTGTTGTGGCATATAGCTCCATGTTGGCACGGATTGCTAGTGCATTCGTCAAATGAATCTATCTCACAATTATTGCCCTTGGTTCCAGCCGGACAGTCACATTGGTATCCGCCTCCATCAAGTATTCTACAAACCCCACCATTTTGACATGGATTCGATTCACAGTCGTAACCGCTGAACTCGCAGTTCTTTCCGAAATAGCCCTCTTGGCATGTACATTTGTGACCGGCTCGAATAGCAGAGCACATACCACCGTTCTGGCATGGAGAGTTGTCGCAGATGTTTACCTCCTTCTCGCAATGTCGTCCAGAGTATCCAGCTTTGCAGTTACAGTAGTAGTTGTTATCTAATTGGACGCAATCCAAAGTCCCCGGATTTGAACATGGATTCGACAAGCATTCATTGATATCACCTTCGCAACGTGTTCCCACAAATCCAGGAGGACAAATACACTCGAAACCACCGACTTTATCCACGCAGGTACCGTTCTTGTGGCAGGAATCAGGTCTGCAATCGTCCGAATTGATTTCGCATATTAAGCCGAGAGTACCCGAAGGGCACGAGCATTGGAAGTTGTTAATCAAATCGTGGCAAGTACCACCATTCTGGCATGGATTCGGCGTGCAATCGTCCACATTGAGCTCGCAGTTTTGACCTTGGAAACCCTTGGTGCATTGACAAGAGTAACCACCGATTAAATCTCTGCAGGTGGCTCCGTTTTGGCACGGAGCAGATTCACACTCGTCGATTTCTATTTGACAATAGGATCCGGTGTATCCGTCCACGCAGCGACAGCGATGGGAGTTGCCAATGTCCTCGCAGGTGCCATTGTTGCAAAGATGTTTGCTGTGGACGCCTTTGCGGATTGCCGCGTCCGTACAGCTGACCATCTCCACGTCGCAAACTTTTCCTGTCCATCCCGGTCCGCAGGCACAGCTGTATTGGTTTTTCACCTGGTGACAAGTGGCTTGGTTCTCGCAAGGGCTGGTCACGCACCAGTCGACGTATTCGTCGCAGTTCTTTCCAGTGAATCCGTATGGGCATTTGCAGCTGTACCGATCGTCGTGGTCGTGACAGATGGCACTGTTCTTACAGGGATTGCTGTCGCAGAGGTGGATGCGATTCTGGCAATTAGAGCCTGTATAACCGGGCATGCAGATACATTTATAGGAGTTGATGCCGTCGATGCAGGTGCCGCTGTACATGCAGCTACTCTCGGTGCAGTCTTGGTCGTTCGTTTGGCAATTTATACCGGAAAATCCAGATGGGCAAGTGCACGTGTATGAATCGACGTACTGATTGCAGGTAGCTCCATTCAGACAGGGGTTCGACAGACACTCGTCCACGTCAATTTCGCAGTGTTTTCCCTCGAAGCCGCTGACGCAGTAACATTCGTAATCTCCGACGTCGTCGCGACAAGAGCCGCCATTTTGACAGGGTGAGGAAGCACAATCATCGGTGTTGATGGTGCAGTCTTTGCCTTCGTAGCCGTGGGCGCACAGACATTGGTACGATCCGTCGGTGTTCTTGCACGTTGCCCCGTTGCGACAAGGTGCCGAAGCCTGACACTCGTCGACGTCATCTTCGCAAAGGCGTCCCGAGTATCCGGCGCTACAGGTGCAGACAAAGTCCATGAAGTTGTTGGTCGGATTGCAGCGGGCATTGTGCTGGCACTTGTTCGGTGAGCATGGATCCAACTTCTCCTGACACTCGCGACCCGTGAATGGTAGTTCACAGATGCACATGTGGTTGTTCACCTGGTCGATGCACGTACCGCCGTTTTTGCACGGATTGAATGCGCAGTCATCAATGTTTGTCTCGCAGTTAGTGCCGGTATAGCCGGGTACGCATTCGCACATGTAAGATGCCAAATGATCATGGCAATGTCCACCGTGCTGACATGGATTCGAAGCGCATTCATCAATGTTGTTCTCGCATTGCTTTCCTCCGTATCCTGAAAGGGTTGTAATTTGAGTTAGTTACGAAATTGATAAGTTTCTTTGAATCAAGTACCTGGTAAGCAATGGCATATGAACTGGTTGACGCCATCTTCACAAGTACCACCGTGTTTGCATGGATTAGACTTGCATTCGTCAACATCGCTTAAACACCTCGCGTCGTGGTAACCTCTTGGACACTCGCAGTGGAACCCGTTGACGAGATCAATGCAAACACCTCCGTTTGCACAAGGGTCCGATAAACATTCATTGATGTCCTTTTCGCAGTGTTGTCCAGTGTAACCAGGTCTACATTCGCAAGTGTACCTGAGACAAAGAAAACGCAAACAATGCATTAAGCAAATCAAGACAGGTTTATATGGAAATCGAAATAATCAAAAAAGCATTATCTGGTAAAACAGATTGAGGTAAGCTAAACAAACATCGGAAACAAATTCAAATCAAACAAAAATATCATGCAGAGCAAACTCAAAACTTGTGCGATTCTTCACTTTGGACACTTACGATCGATGATAATAATAACTATAATGTTAGAACGCCACCATGAAAAGGAAAGAAGAGAGTTAATTAGTTAAGGGTTTTGGTCGGGTGTTAGTCCAAAATTCGTTATATTTTGAATGTGTATTAGTGGACAATAGTTACCTGTTGATTTCGTCGATGCAGCGGGCGTCGTTCCTGCATGGATTGCTCATGCACTCGTTGTCGTTGATCTCGCAATTCTTGCCTGATGTGCCAGCTTTGCAGATGCATTGGTAACCGTTCACGAGGTCCTGGCATGTGCCTCCAAATTGGCACGGATTTGACTCGCACTCATTGATTTGTGATTGGCACAAGTAGCCGGTGTAACCCGGATGGCAAGTACACGAGAACGAATTTTCACCGTCTATACATTCGCCATGCTGGCAAGGCGAGGATTGACAATCGTTGATGTTTGTTTCGCAGGAGTATCCTATTTTAGATATAAACAGTTTAGTTCGCATTCAGATAATCACTAGTATCATTATTACCTGTATATCCTGGTGGACAAATGCAAGTGTACCCGGCGATGGAGTCCTCGCATGTTCCGCCATTGCGACAGGGGCTTGAGAAGCAATCGTCGATGTTAATCTGGCACCGGGACCCGGTGAAGCCAACGGCGCACGTACACTTAAACGAGTTGATGCTGTCATGGCAGATGCCGCCGTTCAGACATGGTCCATCTTTGCACTCATCGATGTCGATCTCGCATTGCGTACCGGCAAATCCTGCAAATACATACAATTAAGATAAACTACAAAATATTGACAGAGGATATTCTAATCATTGTGATCAATGATTTCAACACTCACTGCAGAAGCGAAATAGCTTCCAGATACGCATTTCCGTACAATTTTAAAGTTACATTGCAATTGTCGCATAGTGAATAACCAACTTTAATATACCTCACAAAATCAAACAAAAATGTAATGCTTCTTGTTCCATAGTTGTGATTTATTTTTTCGTCTACTTTTCTTATAATTTTATTAAATAAGGAAGTTTCAGTTACGCTTCACGAATTGAGCGGAAATCAAGTCCAATCTATCTTAATTAGACGTAATTCGTAGATAATTTAAACGTACATATGGAAATAAAAATGTATATTTTACATAAGGAACAAAGCGAACGAATGCATAAACGATCTTCGAGTGCAAACCGATGCAGATTTTCAATTCCCGAAACGAGGAAATGTCATCTCGGATAAAGGCGGCTTTGCCCACGGAACGGATTCAATGGAGGAGGAAGAGGCAAAAATTGTAAAGAACCGAGCGTGTTGAATCCATGACAACTGGGTCGCACGGCTCATAGTTCCACACGATAAATAAAACCCCGTAATTCTGTTTGCATTATACACGATCGGGTTTCAATTTTATGTGTTAACAATGAGAGAATGAATAATGGCCAAAGGGACGACGTCTCTTGGGTTCCTGGTCTCGCGAGGTGACCGAGCGGAACCAAGAAGAGACGAGTTCAAACCAACAGCAACAAAAAAGAGACAACAAAATAAATACAACGAGAGGACATTCGCGTTGAAGAAGGAAGTGGACAAATACCAAACAAGAAATAGTTTCAAAGAAATCGACTGAAGATCGTCAAAATCAATAACTTGTGTTGGTGTTCTGCTTCTTTTATTTTCGGTGTAACGATAATTGGCCCCGTTCCCATAGCCACCGCTGCCGTAGTAATAATAATGTCAATAATATCGGAAACGCGACGCGAGCCATAAAACCGCGCGACAAATTGTTGGTGATTAAGGTGAGGCCATCGCCATCATTGTGACTAGCATAGATGCCTTTCAACTTCCGAATGCTAAACTGCTGACAACTACGTGGATGATATGTGTCTATGTTATGTGTAATTTTCATTTCGTGCAGATGACAATTCTAGATAGCCAAGTACGCTGGCAACAAAAAAAAATATGTATATATGTACATTCGAGAGATCTCGTTTGTTTACCCAGTTAAGAATTGCGAGATTGCATTAAGATTGTACGTATGGACGTCGGATAAAGATAGAGTTGAATTTATAAATGGACTTGCTGCGACGCAGACTGCTTCTTCGTCCACTTTTTCCTTTTTATATCTTTTACAGTTAGAGCTGCAAACGCAAGAACTTAAGAAGAAACGAGAATCTACGTACAGTAGAAAAAAAGGATAAAAACACATACACATATACTAAACTGAATGCATATGGGTGACATACGAAGAAGGATTAAATGAAATAGTTAGAACATAAAATGAATACATTTGTGTTGTAAGCATATTCCCAGTATCCGAATTACGTACATTTGGTAGTGCTTAAAGCTCGATTTCCTTTTGTTAATTACAAGAAGCACATAACGCATACGGACACTAATTGTCTTCCATTAAAAAGCAACGAAATTTAATAGCCTCAATTACGGACATTTGATGTGAATTAATTTCGGACAAAAAATAATCTCGATGATCGTAATATAAATTAATGAAGTTATTTGAGGATCCTGGAACATATGTGTCCCGTTACCAAAACCGAGGAATTATCAATTTGGGTTATTATTAAGAATGAAAGAAACAAATCATTTAGGCTGCGGTGGCGGCAGCGGGAGAAAAATAGAGGAACGTCAATTATTGTGTAATTTTCTCGACGGGCGGAAGAGTTACAACAACGGCAACAAAAAAAATTGGACGAGGAACAGGTTTTTCGACGGAGAGCGAGCGATGCCAGATTGAATATTAGCCGGGATATGTATGTGTATGCATATGTATGTGCAGCCTAGGTTGTGTGGAAGAAGAGTGTAGTTAGTGTAAGTTATATAGAAATAGGGAACAATTACTATTATAATATATGCAAGCCGTGCCGGTCGGGGCTTATAACGTGGGAGTAAAGAGCATACCAATGTATATTCGAGTGCTTAGAAGAGGCGTGGATGCCTGAGAGAGACCCCGAAGAACCGTTAATAAGTTCTTATAATTTAACATCATATTATACCTAGTGTATACAAAATGGGTGCGCGTCTGGATGGCCGAACACCCAAAAAACTGCATGGCAATTAGCTGGAATCGTATAAACGTTTCATTGATGAATAATAAAATGGCATCGTGGGAGGAAGCGATAAACCACATTGCGCGCATCTGAAGATCTCCGAATTTTCGCCAAAATTGTCTCCACCACCATCTGCCGAACTCTCAGTATTAAGCAGCATGAAAAAAGTAAAACTAAAATACTGACGGACGCGAAGAAGAACGGAGTAAACCAGACCCGAGAATGACGATTCATATAATATGCATAAGATGTAAATAGCAGAGATTTATAATCACGAGAATTCAGACTGGCAAAAAAAACGCTTGATCGCTTTGCACACAGCGATCCTGGCATTAATTTCAATTAAAAACTCTCCAATTAAAATCGTCCACGTTTTATAAACCAATTCCGCAAACCGAAAACGGTTTACAGGATTCCCACTTAATTGCTGAATATTTAATTGTTCGATCTTATCGCCTGCGACAATATTTATACTTTTTCAATGGTAATTGACACAAAGATTAATGTTGTGTTGATTAAAACATCATTTTGTGATTTTACCTCCTGCCATTTAAGATGATCTGATCATCTGAATTTCTTCGTTTAAGTTCAGGTGATTTCGAAACTATTATGGTCACATTAACGCGTTGACTTTAACAATGATGTTAATTAATTTCCAGGTAACATGTTAGTTATATCTATCTCTCTGAAAAATTCTTATCTATAAAGACCAAATAACTTACCAGGCATGCAGACACATCTGAAGGTTCCAGGATCGTCCAGACATGATCCTTCGTTGTGGCATGGGTGGGATTCGCACTCGTTCACGTTGGTCTCGCAACGCGGTCCAGTAAAGCCCTGGGTGCAGTTGCAGGCGAAGCTCCCCGGTGTATTCACACATATTCCATCGTGTTCGCATGGTGATCCTTCAAAAAGAAAACCATAAATGTTAATACTCTTCATTTAAAATGTTTATTACTAAATTTATGAGAATTTTCAGCATAAAGCTGTTTTTTTTTATTTATTTTCTTTAATTTTAGTTTAAAATATATAAGTAAGTTATTTCTAGATTAAAAAATGTAAATTACAATTAATAATTAACTTCCGAATTGCATCAAAATTAATATAATTTTATTGTCTACGCCGCTTGCAGTTTAGCTTTGGTTTCTCTCGCAGTTGACGAATGAAGCAACGTACAAGAGCGGTGGAAAGAAGATAGGAACAAAAAATAATACAACTTAAAGAAAGAAATAAAGGAAAGAGGTTCTCCTCTCTTTTACCTTGCTCGCACTCATCAATGTCCTCCGAACAGTCGATTCCTTTGTATCCCGATGCACAGCTGCAAGTGTACGATCCATTTATGGGGCTTGTGTCGCATATGGCATCTGCGTGGCATGGATTGCTAGTACAGGCGTCATCCAAATGACAGAGCAAACCTAGAAGAACGACGAGGATATCGTTGATGAATTATTGTACATAAAGAAGAAAAAAAAATCAGAAAAGAAAAATAAACAAGATTGTCAGCATTTCGAGTTTCGAAGAATACGGCGATTCAGATTTTAATGATGTTCCTTAATAAAGTAAACGAATAGAAGAAGTAAGACTGTGTGTGTTGGGAGATTGAGAGAGACCTAGATGCAACGCTTCGAATGCAATCATCAATTAATAAAGCCACACCTATGGAGTGCACACAATCTCTTGACCCTGCCTGCCTTCCTTCCTACTATATGGCATGTGTGAGACTCCATCTGAAACGGTCCCGGAGGCTTTCAGAGAGGCAAAGAAGCGGTCGTCGTCTATTTGGTATGCATTGGAAAAGGAGCCGCAGCGGCCCCGAAGACAGCTGAATGTAAAAGATGTCTTCTTTGATCGCGTACTCGCGCCTTGCAGGGGAGGACCGAAAGACCTTTGGCGATTTAGCAATCGCCCATGTGAAACGCAAACAAGAAGGGTGTGTGTATGTATGTGTATCTATATTTATATATTTCTCTATGTGTGTGTGTATGAGAGTGAGCGTTTGGTGCAGTGTCAACATTGCTTGTATTGTTGTGAGAGATCATTAAAGATAGGTGTGGTTACATGACCAGTCCTCGAACGCAGCACACGTTAAAACGAAGAAGAAAAAAGGATCGAAGAATGGGAAATAAAAAGAAGACATGATGAATGGGGCATTCTTGATTATACACTAATAGCGGGTATCGCGAGGGATTCGATGTCGAGGGGCACGCCCATGGTCCATTGTGTTCCCTCTTCGAAATGACAAAACAACCTGCAAACAATATCTCCTCCTCCTGCTCTTCGGAGATGTTGCGTACCTGTTTTTCCTGCGGTGCAGCGGCAGTAGAAGCTGCCCACCCGGTCGATGCATGTGGCCCCATTGAAGCAAGCTGCTCCGGCGCAGTCGTCGATGTTAACGGAGCAGTCCGGACCCGTCCAACCGTTTACACATATGCAGGAGAAGCCACCGACGTTGTTGTTGCAGGTCGCACCGTTTTGGCAAACGGACGGTCTCAGTGAACATTCGTCCACGTCCTGCTCGCAGAAGCGACCCTTATAGGTCGCAGGACACTGGCAGGTGTACGAGTTGATTCCATCTAGGCAGGTCGCTCCATTCTGGCATTGGTGACCCGGACAGTCGTCAATGTTTTCCTCGCAGTTTGGACCTCGAAAACCTGCAACAAAAATAATATTCAGACATAAATATAATTATTTTTTTATAGTAAAGACATATGTTGAGAATTGAATTCAATATATTTGGAATGCCTTAAAAACGAAGATAAATGTGCACTAGAAGACTTATCCTAGATATAGACGGATCAACTAAAGCTAAAATTAAGCACGAGCATAAAAAAAATTAGAAATAAAGTTCAAAAACTTTAATTGGTTAATAAAAAAATCAGATTTATTAGTAAAAAACAAATTACTAATAGGTAAGGTCATCATAACCAGTCTGAATCTATGTCATCCAATTTATGACAGTTAAATCTAACATTAAAATCATGCAAAGATTTCAATCAAAATGTAGATATATAGATATTTACGTTGTAAAATGAAATTGGAATTCTGAGTACTATTCCAATACCGTCCGAGATTTAACATAACGCAATACAAGTTTTTACTACCTATAGAAAACAAAAGAAGTGATCGATGTAAAAACGAGCGCAACCAATGCTAATGTAGAATTAATGGAAACAATCGAAAGTGACACGACACTTCTTCCAAACGAAGAAACAGTGATTCTGTGAACCGTAATTTCCATCTTAATTGAATTTACTGTTTGTCATCATCATCATCGTCGTCGTCGTAATCTCTTAGTAATCATCGTCGTAGTCGTTGTCCTTATGATAATCATCAGCATATTGACAGTGTTGGATTGATCGCCCGTTAATTGGTGAACCAGCTAAATCTTGCTTCGATAATTATTTTATATTATGATTTCGTTTGCGTGTTGGATTGTATCCAATTAATAGTACGTAGCCCGTAACAGGATGTAATTAGTTCATTATTAATATTTCATGTAAATAACAAGGCGCGATGCAAATGTAATCTATTCGTTGAATAAGTATATAAAGCTGTGCGACTGACGAGGACTGCATGTTGTCTCGTCTGTTAATGCGAGTGTCGGAATTGCAGAAGAATATTTCGGGTGTCGAGGACTTTCTCGTTTCGTCCTCGGATACTCCTTCCTCGTCTGCTACTACTACAACCATGGCCATCTGGAGCATCAAGTTGGCGGCGGCAGCAGCAGCAGCAGCGCGTTCCACTCGCAGTGGAGAACTTTTCCCACGGTCACTATCTATCTCTCAGCCCACGCCGATGTTTCTTCTATCACTTCCCAACTCTTCGAGATATACTCTCTTAACTGAGTCTCGGCTTCCGGCAACTATCTGTACGCCAAACCGGATTTCGTTCCTTTATATCTCACACACATATAACGTACGTGTCGATTACAATAATAATTATTTCTTTGCTTTGAGCAACAGGTCTAATAGCATTAACAACAACAATAATAATCATTAACGGTTGAAACCTTTCGATTGAGATTAGAATAAAGTGAAAGTCAGGTGAGGAATATGAAATCACATTTCGAGCGGTGGAGCGATTGCCATCGCCCGTTATTGTGTGCATAAAGTGGTTAAGAATTTCGGATTTTCTGCGCCGAGACGGATATCGGGACGTGACGATCTGCGAGGAACGAACGCCTCTCCGCCGTCGTTTATCCGGACCCTATCACCCGCTGCCCGGCCACTTTCCTTTCCATTTTCTGCGCTTAGATGTGCCGCCTCCTCTTCCTCCTCCGACGCCTCAACTACAACATCCACTTGTTGTTTGTATGTAGCTATTATTATTATAGTGCACGTTGTCTGTTCGACTGTGTCGACCCCGAAAGGGGGAAGAACCCGCTGATCCGCTCACCCGATTTGCATTCCAAATTGACGGCGGAGGTGCTTCACATTTCGAGTCCACGCGTTGCCGTTTTGTCGTTTCGGACTCTCTTGCTTCTCTCGTCCTTCCCCGTCTTTTTCTTCTCCGCCTCCCCCTCCGCCACCACTGCCTTCGTGCGCTTGGCGAGTGCCAGGAGGAAGCACGACTGTGGGAAGGTTCTTCTGCACACCCGTAATCGTTCATCGTACCACGAGAGAAGTGGAGAAAGAATGCTGATGAATGCAGCATACACACACATAAATATATACATATACAGCAAACAACTCGCCAATTCTTCGTCTCCCGAATTCTGCCAGCCCAGACATCTGGTGGCTCCGCGTTTGGAATGCATTAGAAGGGATGTTTATTTTCTAGCAACATGTGTCACCCACCCAATTATTATTCCTACGAAGTGGAATGATGCAAAAAAAAATGCCGTTGAGAAGAAACAGATATTCCTAATTCTTTCAAGCATCTAGATTATTTTTTGTGCCCGCCCCTTCTACAAAACATTCGAGCAGATGAAAAAGAAACCACAAACTTTTCCTAAACATAAACAAATACCATTAAACATCATTAAAAAGCTAATGGTAACAAACTTAATTACTCGCTTTTGAAGAATGCATAAACGATCTTTTTTCTCTTAATACTTCTTGTATGTTTGTTGTTGTTGCGGCTGGGTTATTTCTTCTTCGAGAGAGCCGGGCTTATTGATGGGCGGTAAATGTTGGTTCTCACAGTGTCCGAGTTGGCGAGGAGGTGGAGTAATGGTGCGTGCACCTCGGTGTCGACACTCGGACCTCGGGGTGTCCCGACTTCGCCGCCATTGTCCTCGGGGCTAGTTCTCCTCCACTCGCTGAGAATCCCAACGTCTTCTTTTGAACACCTCTCTCGCCCACACACCGCCGCAACAACAAATGCAATCATACATTTACATTAACACAACAAAAACACTAGCACGACAATAAGCGTTTCGTAGAAGTACATCTTATATTTGGTCCGATTGAATTATTCGCAAATCTAATCTTGAGATAGATACTTAACATCGAAAAAGAATGAAAGCAACAAAAGTCCACAATTAATGATCCGAGAGCAACGCTGATGTCGTTCATTCTCGCAAATAAAAACAGAGCAACTATTGCGTAACGGCAGTTAATTGAAATCATCACTGCATGGACTTAACTCTCTTTCTCCCTCTATATCTCTTGCAGTCACAGAAGAAGTCCCCCCGTCATCTCGATCCTCTGCATCCATTCATCTCTTGGACGAAGAGCGGTCATCCGAGTTTATTGCATCCATCCATTTTCGAGAGCGCGCTTTTAATTGCTTTATTGCATATGCCTCGTATTAATTACAAAGTAATAAAATTAATTGAATTACACGACGTACAGATCACAAGCGAGTATGTCTCAGGTATCAAAGCATAACTCGGGTGATATTAGGTAATCCGGTGATGTTGTTGCTAGCGATCGTCGATTGTTGTTTAGTACCTAAATGCAATTTTAATTAGGATCGATGGTGATTACGTATGCATTGTTGCATTTTACGGTGATGCGTGGCGCCCACGCTTCATCTTCAGAGAAGGGGTCAAAAAAACGGACAAACTCCTCCGGGTTGTCCCATCACTTTGAATGATGACCGCGCGTTGGCAGTGTTTCCTCGTCAAGAGGCCACACACATGGGAAGAGCCTCAGGAAACATTTCCAGAACCGAGAAGGCAAAAGACAAAGAGAAAATTGCGATTATTGAATGCAAATCAGGGAGATTCGATTTCGCCTGAAAATTGAAGCCCGCTAACTTTCATCTCGATTTCGCAAGAGGTGAATTCCTATGGCTCTTGTTCCACCAATCCCCTCCTCACTCTGACTCTCTTCTTCTCACTTCACTTTTTACGAGTTACCTCTGTCCGTGTCTCTTTCTCTCCTCGAGCCTCATTATAGTAATTTCTTCTTATGTGAAAATGATACATATGTCCGAAACGTGAGAGCAATCGGAAAGTCGAAGACTCTAATGACACGTAATTTAAACAATTGCACGAGGAGGAATTGGCACGAATATGGGTCAGATACATACAATAATTTGAATTTCAACAACACACGACATAACTGGATCTGTTTGCATTATTCAAAGGCTGCGCGCTGTGCCGAGAACGAAAGAGGGAAAGAGAGGTAGTTATGTATAGGGAACACCTCCACCTCTCGAGACGTTTGCATGCTAGCTGCTAGGAATAAGAAGAGAGGCAAATAAACAAACAGGTAGGTTGGATGGATAGAAAATAAAAGAATGCAAAATAGGAGACCCAGAGTGGAGGCCCGGGGTACGATCGCACTTATTGGGGAATGCACGTGAACGTCGGAGAGAAAACATTTCACTCATGCGAAAGCACGAATGCAATTGTGCATCTGCATAATTTATGCGGGATTATTAATCAGCGACTACTTAATAATAACAGACGCGTTTAATGCGGCCGGGGGAATATTTTAATTGGATCATCGGAATGTGCCCTCTTCATCTTCACGCGAGGAATTAAAACGACTCTATATATATATACATATAACTTCGAATGAGGATAATTAAACCTCCTCGATTTGCGGCCTTTCTTTTCTTCCTCATGTGCATGCATGCATCCAATAATATACCTTAAAAGCCCCTCTTAGAGGCCATCATCTCGCAAATTGCACGCTCCTGCCTCCCCTCTAATAGTTTATTATCTCAAATGTACGCTCTCTCTCTCTGTTTATCTCTGTCTTCGTACAATTTCAATTCACTTTTTTTCCTTTCGCTATTTTACAATTTCCACCACGGAATTTCCAGGGGGACGGAGAGACTGCGTGGACTCTAAGAACAAGAGGAGAGGTAGGTAATATAGGAATAATTTCCATAGAGAGTTACGACGTAGGTGCGTGATCCGACTGTGATGAAATTGTTGCGTATAATTATACCCGGTGGACATAGATAATGTACAATAAAATATTCTTCGTGAGTTGGGCGCGATGACCCCGAAAAAAGAACAAGGTGAAAAGAACAAAAAAAGAAGTAAGAATAATAATGAAAAGGAAAAAAAGAAACAGAATTGGAGAAGGAATTACAGAAAAGTATAAATGCAGGAAAAAAACTTTTGTTAGGAGCCTAACGGGGAAGAAAACCATTTTTCTCGCGGGAATGACGACAACAAAGCGAGGAGAGGATCTAATCTCTGGTACCTGAGCCGAACAAAAAGTTAACAGTTCCAGGAAGATCCAGTTCTTAGTGCGAGTAACGGGAAATGTCTCTATGTGCAAAATCGCCCCACGTGTTGTACGCCAAACACGCTGCGAATAGACAGAGTGAACTATACAAGTTATCGAATGCCGGATTAATGAAATTGTATTGTTTACAATGCTGAATTAAATCATCAGCGCCAAGTGGCTCACATATTTATGAACATGATCCGGAATCTTTGTCAACACAACTCTCTTGATTATTTACATCTCGGTACTGAGAATAAATATTTACGTGCGATACGACGGAGGGACCTCGGCTAAACAAAATAAAGACTTGAACTGTTTACATTCTTGCATGTGACATACGCTCGCGAAGACGGAACACATATTCACATTATTTTAAACGTTTATGCTTGCATTTTTACTTTTTTCAATTCATCTGGATAGTTTGAAATTGTTTACCAGCAATTTAGGTGATAAGAGCACGACAAGTCCGACCATCTGTTCCTATATTATTTGACATGGACGGGTGGTAATTATTCGAGTTTTTGTTTATAAAGTTGAGTGGTCACGTCTTGTGGAATCTAACGGATCCGACACATAGTAGTGTATGCACGGGCAGGCAGGCAGACAGACTCCGGGGCCGAATACAAGGCCCGTCATCGATGAATTTAATAAACGTAAACTGAAATGTAAATAATGAGGCGTTGATTCGAGGGACGACAGCCTAATGCCGGGGAGCCCATAAATTTCAATCAATTGATACACTTCACGTAGAAGGGAAGAGAGAAACGGAGAGAACTCAGAGCCCAGATTTCCACGTCTTCGTCGATGACTGTTCAAGTGGGGAAGAGTACAAGGTAGAGAGAGAGAGATAGGCCCGACACGGTGACGTAATAAATTGTGTGCACCGCGCTCTGGGATTAAATTCCCCATTGGTCAGCTACAATGGTACATTTATCATGTTTCGGACAATGGCAACCGCAAAGCAACTAAACTCTTCCAAGGTCGGGCGAACGCATTGTTCTAGCCGGCCGTTTTTATCTCTCGTTGGGAAAAGAGTGGCTTGAGACGAACCGAGGAGGATGAGGACGAAGACGAAGAAGAGAAGGAGGAGCAGGCGGAGACGGAGAGAAGACTTCTGACCCTCTCCGACCGTCCGTCTACCGCCCCGCAACGTCGAGGCAAAGAATTCCAGGAGACGGCGGAAAAACGCTCGATCAAGACGGCGACGACCAAAATGGAAAAAAATATTTGCCGAAGGAGAAACTCAATACTTCGGTAGCAAAAAAAAAAACAGAAGAAGTCGAAAGAGAAGGCCTTACCGCTGGGACAGTCGCATGTGTATGTGTGCTTATCCAAGGGCCTGCAGAGCCCTCCATTTTCGCAAGGACTCGGCTTGCATGGAATGTATTCGCTCTCGCAGTTCTTTCCGGTGAAACCCTCATCGCAAGTGCATCTGAAACAAATATCAAAACATTAGACACCCATTCTTAATAAGTCCATTACCACACAACACCTGTCAAATAAATTGACAAGATCTTCGGAGGTATCGCGTTTTATTTCGCAAATACTTGTATTATACATGTTCAATAATATTAGATATTAGAGCAACACAGATAAAAGCAAACAGTAAAACATTAACATGAATTAAAATTAATAGTAATTACTAAAATAAAAACAAACAGATATGAATGATAAACCTCACAATTTTATACTTTTATGAAAGAAATATCCGTAACATTCTGCAAAAGAAGTTTTCCATTCATCTTCCATTTATGTATGTAATAGTCGACGAGAGACCGACCATCTGTTCCCATATTATTTAATAGTAACATACTTTCATACATAGTTACAAAAAGCACAAATATAAATAGTTAAGTAAAATAATGCGTTTAAGAAATATTTACAATAAGCTCAATTTTATCTTTATGGAAAAACAAAAATTGCAAATGAAAATAATAATATTTATTTAAGAACTTATATTGAAAGAATCTTTAGTTTTTCAAAAGTTTAGGCGAAATGCAATATTATAATTCATTCAATACACGATACTTATTATCTATTAGTTTCAGGTAGGATAAAATTGTCCTATACATAAAAGTAATGTAAGCGTTGGCAACGTTGGAGAACAAAAGAATGAGACTTTCCGTTTTTGAAGGAAATGAATATGAGTGAGCAGAAGAAGAGGTGGCGCATTTGTTGTTTTACGAGCAATCAGCAGGATGGAGTTGGAATTTACGATTATTGCAGTTATTAAGCGCGCGATTTGCATTGTGTGCGGCAAGGAGAAGAAGACAGGAGAGGAGAAGACGCGCCGACATTAATAGATCCATCATAAAGAGGAATCCAATTACGCGGCGCGCGGAAGACGGACGCGAAGGAGCGCGCGCGCTCGCACCGTTGCCAATCGTTGGGAACAGTCCGAGAAAATGGGATTTTCTTCCTCCTCGAGCTGTAATTACTTGTTCTTTCGATGGTCGAGCATACTACACTATTCAGTCATTTTATTAGCAAGCCGACGAAGAAACGAGCCGATTAATATGCGCGACGCGGCCTGCATGCGTGTGTATCAAACAAAAACAAAAGAAAACACGAAGAACAGAAAGGAGCAACGAAAGAAATACAAAAAAAATAGTCCCCAAAACCGAAAGTCAGGTAGGTTGTTTTTTCCTTGTCTTCTTCGGAGCTTCTACCTGACTCAGTCACTCCCATCCGGAGGGACGAAGACAGCGAAAGAACGAAGGAAAAGAAAAAGGGTTTCATCACGTAAATACGCGCCGTGTATGTAATATATTTAAAGCATAAAAGCTTGGGTCGGTTTGGTTACTTATTCTTTGTTTTTTTTTTGTTTGTTCCCTGGGTCCATGTATTTGATTAGCTAGCTACTTTAAGTTTAAGTGTGCAGCCCCCGATGCGAGGACGACGTACAAAAAGACCTTTTGGTTAACAATTAAAGTTTCTGGGGAGATGCCATAAACGGGACTGGTTTGACGGGCAACCATGGGTCGCCTATGGAGAGAAGGCTACATCGCCTCGCCGAAGGAGCGATTTATAGGCATCTCCGATGAAATGATACTGGCGCAGCGGAAAACGGGTGTCGCAATTTTCCGAAACTAAATTTCAAATTCAATGTGAATGCCTCTTCTTTTCCTTCGCATGCAGCATGCATTCAGTTCATTTTCTTTACATCACTCCGCATCTCTTGGACCATCTTCACCGTGATGCTGTGCCCTTTGTGCGCTCGCTCGTACCTTCATCGCACATCTCGGAGCGTCGAGCGAGTAAACGGGTTTACCATAATACACCTTCTTCAGATCGCTCCAGCAAATGCTGCTTGTACGTACGTATGCATACATGTATGTATGCATGAATCTCGCGAGTGGCGGAGATAAATAATGTATGATAATCTGCTGCTCGGAAAGCAGATAGAATCATTTCAATGGGCAGTAATACAAATGTAAGGGGGCCTCCTTCCTATTGCGACCGTTACGGTGCAGTCACGTGCAATATCTATTAAAGCGTTAGGCATTGTTGGGTAATTAATGCTACTGCACTTTCGTCCGGGTCGCGGCATTCCGAATCCGCCTCCACTGAAGGCAACCTTTGATCAGATTTGCTGCTGCTCTTTGCACCACTCTCGAAGACGTTCACTTCCTCCACCTGAGGCGCGGATCACTTCCATTCGCTTCCTGCATCAATAGTCGGGTGGTCCCTGGGTTATCATTCCGGCCAATTGTTACCGGTAATGGCTCAATCAATCCGCTTGGAAAAGCGGTACTCTTAAATTTCCTACATCCAGCCTTCATCTGCAATTACGCCGCGCCATTAACTGCACATGCGAAACTACCACAATCTCCGAACAATTCTCATTCAATTAGCTTTTATAGTGAAATATCACTAGATTTTATCCCGAATGCATACAATGCATTATAGGAATACCGTACTTTAATTATTCATCCACCACAAAATTATTTTTTTCTTCATTTTCGAAAAAATGTAGAAATTTAATATTTGTGTTATTATAAAATTATTGTGAATGCGAATCAAGTTTTACAAAATAAAAAAACACAAAATAAGCCAATAGCCCTTTGAGTTTTTTATTTTGTAATTTTATTGTTTCAATAATTATTATTATTAAGAATTTAAATAATAATTATAATGTTTATTGCATTAGTCGTACAAAATAAATATAATTTCAAAAAAGTTAACTGATACAAAGGGCTATTGGCCATAGGTCCTTCTGCCCTAATAATTTGACTGCATATACGATATTCATTTATTATCAATATTATATTCATGAATCATATTATCTTACTTCGAATTATGTTCAATTGTAGCTGGTGTACCAAAAGGTAATATATTATTTGTTTTTGAGTACAATTTATATGTACACGACAGGTGTGATTCACGAAAAAAGTATAAATATAATTTAGAATGTACTTTGTTTAAAAAAAGTCAAATGCAGCGTATTATTTTTGGTAGATTACTATAAGAAAGGACTTGCCATTTTAGATGGTCGAAATATGAAATGTTGCAACATAAAATAGCGAATAGAAACGGAAATCTATAAATAATTAGAAAATAAGGATTGGAAATGAATAATTTCAACCACCAAATCGTGAGGCCGGAGGTGGAGAAGTACAGTTCGATCACGACTCGTCGATGATAACGAGGGGGGAATCTGGGGGGCCCGGCGGGCGCATGTTCCACCAGCGAGATGAACAAATGATTTTAACCTTTCCAATGGCATTCAATTGTATTCATACCGAATCTCCGGCGACTGCACATACACACACACTTATTTACATCAACCACATCCACTTTGACAGTTTGATTATACGATGCAGCGCGGCGCGCGCGATCTCCGTCCATCGAAGAGGTCAAAACCTAAGAATTTTTCAGAATTTTTCGTTGCTGCGCCATAACCGGAACCATTAGCGACATGGGGGGTTTTTCATCTTGAACAGGACCCCTGCGCGGGTCACACGCACCGAAAATATCATACAAAAGCATAAAAGAAGTGACATGCATAACAGGTTCCATTATTTCTTAATCCGTTTTAATGCTACCAAGAAGAATCGTATCGCTCGTAATTGTTTACGTAATTTTGGACGCGAGGATCTGGGAAACAACAAACCGAAAAAGGGCTATACCTGCGATTGTAAGAAGTCTACGATAATGATGTCGACGTGCAGGCATTTCATCATTTATTAAATATAATAAACCTTTAGCTCCACCTATTGATCTGATTCATTTTCGCTCGCTCTCATGTGGAATCCCTTTGTTCCAACTTATAATAAATAATCATAATTATTCTTAATGGGGAAAAGAGACGTGATTGACAGTCGAGCTCCTTAAACGGATTATTATCAGCAAACGATGATTGACAATGTTTATCCTAATCCAAATGCCACCACATCCGACGCTAATTGTCAAGGGAAACGAACGTAGAAGAGAGCACCGCTCTTTCGGTGCGAATTTTACGGAATGCGTTTCTATAAATAATAAATGGAGTTCGCTCGATTTGGATTTAATCGCGGCGATCGATCAAATAATCGATTTTACGTTGGATGTGGGAGAGAACCAAGTTAGATGATGATGATCATCGAGAAGAACAAGAAGGCCCCAAACGGGAGATAAATGCGAATGACTGAGAAGGAATCTGGAGAATCAATCTTCAAGCTCTCCTAATTGCAACTCGATTAAATAACTCTCCGCAAAGCCCACCGGGATTAAGAAACAACATTTCAGTCCTTCTTAGTCGTTTGCGTAATGCGCTAATCCTTCTTTACAGAAACTGGAAAAGAACTACAAAATCTATAAAAAAAAACACATCATCTTGATTTGATGATGCCTGAGACGCAGACGCAGAGATTGTGACCCAAATTCTATTATTTTTTTCTTCTTGATTTTCTTCGTTGATATAAAATAAAAGGCAAATTTAATCGATCGGTTTTTCTGCTGCTTTTATGGCAACACAATGGCGGCCGCCGCGCCAATGGGACACACAATGAATGGGTTTCAATCCTTAAATGTATGGAAAATTGCGGCATACCCTCGGCCCGAAATAGGAAGAAGAAACCTAATTGACCTTTTAATTAATTGGCGCAGATACATACACATGCATACCCATACACACGCGGCTGCAATCTGCAAAGTAAATGCGACGAGAAAACCCACGGCGGAATTAATTGCGTTTCGCTTCAATAAGACCTTAATTGTATTCATCGGCCATATATCGTTCGTTTCAGTGGAAAGCTCTCTCTTTCGCCTGATATTTTGATTTACATTTAAAAACCGTTATTATCCCACCGGCCTCTTCCGTGCAACCACTTATCTATCCGCAGATTCGCGATATGCGATCTCTAAAGATACTCGATCTTTGAATACACTCAACTTTTAACTACTAACTTTTCCAATTCAATCGTTTACTTTATTTGAGAAAGATTCCATAGT